TCTGGCTGCAAGCTCAGAATAAGGCCTCTACAAGCGGCGGCAGATTCATCTAGAAAGTCACTTTTTAATTCCTCTAGAGAAACGTACAGCCCAAATAATCACAAACTCAGAGCTTTCTTAAAAATTTGATACTATCAAGAACGCCCTTACATGTGAGCCGTAGTCCAGCAATATTTGTTGGAAATACAAAAGGTGACCATGGAAAAGTGGTGGGAGAAACCTTCACTTCTGCAATCTGTTCCCGTTTGCAGTCATGATTTTTTCAACTTAATAGTGCATTAGGAGTAGATTTCTGCATTTAATTTCTTAAGCACACCACAGCAGGGAGAGTGAGGGAGGGGAAAAAACAGTTTTGTTTCTCTGCAATATAAAGAGTAACAGTTATTGCTTGCCAACTACACAATTATTTTCAAAGAGCTTACCATCTCTCTTAGGTTGATATATTAGCTTTATTACCCTGGCATGGCTCTGAGAGATACTTGCCATTCAACTCGTTGGTACAAAGAGATACAGATGCTTTATTACTGTGGATGGAATTCCCATTTCTGCCAATGCTCCTGGCAATTCTGTGCCCTCCCGAGAAGTAATGCAGACCCTAAATCATTTATTATCTATTCTCATCACAGTTTTGGCATGTTGCTTTAAAAGTATCAGGATGCCTTAGTGTATAGCATTTTCACTACCAGTACAGAAATCTCCCAGGGTGTTGGCTCAGACCCACAGCTGCTCTTTCATGGAGAAAGGATTGAAAAATAGAAGAGTTAAACTGATATGCACTAAAATATGCCACTGCCATCCGTTTTTTAGCACAACAGTACTGCCTGTGGGCACTAGGACACTCCATACCTGACTGACCCCTCCAGCATAGTGTTGGGATTTTCAGCTTCTAAGCTGGCCTCAGGCAGGACAAGTGTACCCAGCTGATCAGCTCAGCCATAAAAGCAGCATTTCTAGGAACAGCCATAGCACAGGGAAGTACATAACTGCTTTGGTAAGTTTTAGGTGAAACCTGTGGTGTCCATCCCATTGCAGACTTCTAAGCAGGTAAGGGAAAGCTTTTTCTCTTGAAATATTGCCTCAAGATTTTACAAAGTTGTGTTTGAGCCTTATTCCAAAATTCCATTGAAGTCTTTCCTGCCCCTATATTTAATACTCACTTAAACACGAGGTTTTTTTTTTAAAGCTAGTGTGTTTCAGGCTACTCAAAAGATAGCAGGGGAATTAGCTCCTGGAACAATCTACCAAATCATTTAGTGGATTTTCTACTGTTCATTGTATTGAAATCAAAATGTGATGTCCTGCTAAGCCATCTGTACTACCTCAGCTCCAAGATTCAGGCCTAATAGAGAAGTTACCGAGTATTTTTACTGTGTGTCACACAGGAGGTCAGAAAAAATGATCTAATGGTCCTGTCTGGCCTTAAGCTCTATGAATCTATGAATAAATGAAAATCTTAGGCCTAAGCACTTTGGGACAAAGAACATCTTTAAATATTTAGCAAAGCACTACGTCCACTGGGACTGCTCCATAAATGAAAGTAGCAGTCACATGCCTGAGGCTCAGGCATCTCAGGTCATCTTAATGCATGTAAACACTGATGTGATGGGAGCTCGAAGAAGATGTTCAAATCCTGGTGTCACTTAACTCTTAAAATGTAGTGGTTCAGATTACTTTTTTCTTAGACAGTCAGTTCAAGCCTTTCTGTGCAGTTGCTCCATTGCAATCAGTCATAGTCCACGTACAGAATTTCCTCAGAACAAAATCCATAAATATGTTCTGTCATGAAGTCATCCTTAGCCTTCAGTTTGGCAAAATACATACTAAAATCTGTGGAGGAAATGCCTAATCGAAAAAGCAAGAATAAAGATTTGGCCAACTCCCAGCAGGGCACACCCTTAATAGCACAACCAGACTCTCAAGCACAAAGGGCTTAAGAGGATCATCTCCTGCTAAGAAACAGGGACTTAGACATGGTAGGTTATTACTGGTTATACTGGGTACATCACTGGGATGTATTTCTCATAGAAATCCCAGGCCACGACTCTTGGGATAGCTGCTTAGAGCAGGAAACTGAACAAAAATGATGGTCTAAAAATTAAACCACTGTCCTTTTCCCCCTCATCACTGACCATAATTTAGAGAACCTGACTTTTCATTAGCCAATTATGAGTAACAGAAACAAACTGCTTCCTTTCCAAGTTGTTGTTGTATTTGAGCTTCCTTGGAAGTCTGTTTGCATTTCCTCACAGCCCTCCAGATCCAACAGCTGAGCTCCGAGCTGCTGCTTCACATGATCTGTCAGGATCCTTCCCAGTAACCCCTCAAGGCTGATAGAAAGGAAAGATGCCCATACAGTTTAATTACCCAGTCTTCCTAGTTCAAGTTAAAGAGTATAATATCTGCATATCAAAAGTTGCCAGAAGCAGCTCCAGCAAGAATTGTCATCATTAATGCTTGCATACAAGGGGGGTGAAGATAGTGGCTATGTTAACAACATTTTAAAAAACTAACCAAACAAGCAGGACTTGTCCTACCCAGGAAACCACACTGCCAATAGTTTAGCAGAGTACCTGCACTGCAGCTAGCAGTTATCTATATGTAGGGGGAAAAAAAAAAAGGAAAACAGAATGAAGGTAAATGCAATTAAGTACCTTCGTAAAAGATAAACATGTATGCATGCAGGCTATGTGAAAATATCTGAAGCCACAGATGTATGTAGTCAATTCCAGAACTGAACTTTTGGTTCATCAGAAGTTAATTTTCTGTGTGAAAATAATTGCATTGAAAATATAACTTCAAAATCATTCTGTTTCATAGTACCGATTTTGTACTTTTACAGCCTTTGTAAAAAACTATTCCAGGTAATAGATAAGGCTGAGAACAGAGTAAATGACAGATCTCACCTGCTTAGGCAAAACTATTTTTTGAGATAGAAAAGTTAAAGAAAGGCATAGTGTTGCAAATGCATCAAAGACAGACCACCACAGAATAAGTTTTAAAGGCCTACAGAATCTATCCCTGCTATGACTTTAATGCAGCCATATTGATTTTAATCCGCTGGAAGACCTGGCTTCAGCAGACTTCAGTCGAACAGCACATGGGATCTCGACCGAGTTTGTGCAAGATCTGCTTGTTATTGATACATCATTGCCAGTCTCGATGGTGTTTCATGGAGAGATGCCATTGATCAGTCTCTGAAGGGACTCCCACATTTTTACACCATGGTTTCAGAACACTCCCAGAAAGACCATCTTCAGTCCCAGAGATGCCCTTATATACAGAGCACAATAGGGACCTTTATGAGCAAGCTCTGCTAGGGATCTTTGGAGTCACAGTCAGGATCTCAGTGTAACTGTTTTATTCAGTGAGTACCTGCTTTGATGCAATTGTATTTAATCACAGAATCAACTAGGTTGGAAAAGACCCCTGAGATCAGTGTTGGATTAGAAATCTTCTTCTGTCTTAGTAGTGACTCTCACTCACACTAGTAATCTCTTAACCCATAGAAGTCTGTTAACATATAGGAAAATTTCCTCCTGAGCTTAGGAAAGAGTCAGCCTTTCGTTTGAAAACTCCTCTCCTAGCAAACAATACAAAGCTCTTCTTTTCTGCTTCCAGGACAACTTATCTTTTGACCCTCGTTAATCAGTTCCTCGAAAACTGAGCCTACCCCTCCATACCATGGTTTAGTTTTGACAACAGCTTGATGTTGCACTGTCCTTAAGTGACTCCTGGTTGCTGCCTTTCTCACTCTACTGAAAGACTTTGCACTACAAATTTTAAATTGTTTCAGCAATTACAAAACATCATTCCTTCTACTGAGAACATGGCAATGAAGATGAAAAAAAGCCTCCTCATTATAGTCACTAAATATTGAGTAAATTATATTTGCAGTAATAGGATATTTCTGGGCAGAGGAAACAAACAAGAGTTTATCAATGTAGTACTGCTTTATTTGCCTGATGACCTTTCAGGTCTTGGTCTTATAGAGAACCCATTCTGTGTTTTCTTGAGACTTCAGACACTGTGAGAAGAAGGGAATAAGGGATGGAAGAAAAGGAACATCTTCAGTCAAGGACCTGAAATTGTAGTTCAGAATAAAGCCACCAATGATTTTGAGAATTATCCATTAATACTCACATCAGCGGATATTAAAAGAAATTGTATAATCTGACACAGAGGTGGCAACATGGAGAACTTGGTAGGACACAGCATTTTATAAAAACTGTCAGTATTGGTCACTTATGAGAAAAAGTAACAGAACTCTTGCTCTTGGAGCAAGCATGTAAGGACTCCATGAGTCTGTTAGGTATGCCACAAATTTTGAAAAAAAAATATGCCAATGAGGTTTGAAATGCTTGAATCGCTGGATACTTGATTTATCAACAGTGTTTTACCATTTGTGGGCTCCATCAATGTGCTGTAGGAACATAGTCAAGGAAATGTCAGACAACCAGTGTCTAGAGAGACTTTCCCGGTGCAAGAGACATGGGTAATCAGAGAGTGTGCGGCAAAGGGCCACCGATACGAGCAGGGACTGGATCATGACCATCTCCCCTATGAGGAAAGGCTGGAAACAGCTGGGTCTGCATAACCTAAAGAATAAGGAAGATCATCAACACGTACAAACAGGGTGAAAAGAAGACAAAGCCCAAAATCTAACAGAAGTTATCTTCTCTCCCTATATATACCCCAACCTACATCCCTAAACTTTCCACTGCCCCACTACCCTCAGCCGGGCCCGCCGCGTCCCCCGCGCGCCCTGCCGCGCACGCGCACCGCCACGCCCCCGCCGCTGCGGAAGTGACGCGCGCGCGGCCGCGGAGCCGTCCCGGTGCGGAGCAGCTGCGGGCCCGGCCCGGCCGCTCCCGGTCCTGTCCCCGTCCCTATCCCGGCACAGCCCCGGGGGAGGCGGCGGCCGCCTCGCAGCCCCTCGCGTTCCTGTCCCGAGCCGGGGGCTCGCCCGCAGGGAGAGGTGGGTGAAACAGCGCCTGAGGCCCCGCGGCGTGGGCGGTAACGGGGTCCGGGGTCTCTCGGAGCTCATGGCCGGTGTGTGCGGTTGTGTCCGTACCGAGCGCGGTGCGAGCGCGTTCGGAGCGGAGGGGAGAGAACTGTGCGGTGGGGACTGAGCGCCACGGGCTGCCCTGCCGGGAGGGGCTGCTGATGGAGCCCAACAAAGTTATTAGTGCCTTCCTGCAAGTTAATAGGACTTGTTTCTCCACGAATTTGACAACAAATACATACTTTCAGATGACAGTTTTGTTCTGAAGGTGCCGAACCATACCAGCTTTAGGCTTGCCTGAGTATGTCTGTTCAGCGTTAATTTCCCAAGAACTAAAGTGCTTTATATTTCACTTTAAAGCTGAATTGTCAAACTAAAGCTTGCAGTCAGCTATTCTCATCAGTGCTTTCACTGGCAAGTCTTAACCTGTTTCAGAAACTTGTATTTTTGGGGTTTTGTTACGTTAAGTTGTGCATGTTTTTTTTATGTCATAATCATCTAGAGCATGACCATTTACACACAAGACTGAGTTCACTGTCTGGCAAGCAGAGTAATTTTTAGAGGTTGTCTTATTTGTTTTCATATCGACATCTTCCAGGAGAGTTAGGCACAGTTGTCTCTAAGAGGTTTAACCCACTCTTTTCTTTTGATTGTAGAAGTTGGTGGGGAGATGCCTTTGTGGGGAGGACTTATGGAGGAGTAAACTACCAGGCGTTTAGAAGCACCAGTTTCTCATAAATGTGCTTATTGGTTTGCTTACTTTGATTTGGGCACAGTCTTGATGAGGAGCTTTGTATGTGTGAATGTTCTTTTGACCATGTGTTTTTTCTTTGTTGCCTTTGAGCAGAGGATGCCAACAGACAACAGCCCCCTGCCAGACAGTATCCAAGAACAAGACTCTGCTACTACTTCAAGCAATAATTGCCTGCTTAAAGATGAGGAATTGGGAATTGAACAAGAAAATGGCATTTGTGACAAAGACATGGGTAATAGTGTCAGAGTTCCCAACTCTGACAGCCAGCCTTCCACTTCTATGGCTGTTCCTTTGGAGATGCCCAGAAGAGGACATCCCCTTTTACAGATCAACAGGCAGCAGATTCAGTCTGTCTCCTGTAGTGCACATGCTGCTGAGCTCAAAGATTTAGGAGTTGATGTCTATGACCAGGATGTACTGGAGCAAGGAGTTCTTCAGCAAGTAGATAATGCAATTAATGAAGCTAATAAAGCAGCAAAAATAGCTAATGCATCAAAAGAATATGAGTCAGTACTGGAGGACTTAAGGTAAATGGTGTTCTTTCTTATTGTTGTTTCCTGTTACTGACCATCTGATGAGACCCAATATCTCATGTTTTTATAATCTGGAAGAGAAAAGATGTTTTGAAAGCTCTAGATCACTTATACTCTTTGGAGTCACTCTTAAAAAGGGCGAAAATATTTTTCACGTCAGACAGTGCTTCATTGCTCTTATTTGACTAATCTAGTCATGCATCAAGGCAGCAGAGTACATCTCCTTTTTCTGTTTTGTCTGCTACCTTACCAAGATTCATATCTGTTTTCTGGGCAGGGGAGAACTGCATTATACTTCTACTCAGACTTCCTCACTTCTGATTAGGTACTTTCTGTAATTTGGATAACTCCATCTCATGAATGTCCTACAGCCAAAACAACCTCCTCACAAGTGCTTGTAAGAAGTACCGAATGACACCTCAAAAGAATCAAATGCTTAAGTAAAATGGTGTATTGATAGTAGAAGACTTTGAGGAATAGGAGACACTAACCTTTAGAGTTTTGATCTCCCTTTCTAATTTCATTGTAGAGTTAGTATGTGAACTATTGCAGGTAAATAATTCTACCTGTTTATCTTTTGCTGTTTGCATTAATGGTGGATTTTAGTGCTCAAGAGTTCTGTAGGCCTCAATTACCTGTGTGAACTCACATAGCTCTCTTATGCCTAATATTATGCACTTTGTTAATTTTCCAGTTTGGGCGTGGAGTGTGAAATTAAATAAGTTTGCAAAACTGAAATCTAATTTCAGATGTTATGGAGCAGAAGAAAATAATGAGTAAGATGGTGTTGAGAGGAAGAATGGAGCAGTGTAACCATTACAATTAGATTATGTGGTTGTTTAAAGAGTTGTGCACAGCAGTGTCAATTAGTTTATATTTCCCTATTTTTCTTTTAAGAAGTGTCCTTGATTTTTGTTATCCCTCTGTTTTTGTCTTTCACTGAATTCGTAAAATGAGATTTATGTGAGGGAATACAAATGGTTTATGCAGACTTGTAGAACCTTGTCTGGGTAAGATGTAATGTGAGAGTCTGAAAGCTGATAGTCTGAAAGTTGATATCTGAGAAAATTAACAGGTATAGCTGACTTTTTGAGCAGAGGGGACTAACAAAACCAAAGACATATGAGAAGAGCATGGTAGAGTTGGTTAAAATCTTGTAGTGCAGTGAATCCATGACTAGAGGAAAGATCAGGCAAGAGGTGGGTGGTTTTTGAGGAGATGGCACAAAGTTCATGGTAGAAGCTGCATGATTCTGTAATATACACACAAATTTAAGCAAAACTGTTTGAAGTTAAATCCTGTTTAAATCCCAGATTCCAGAGTCCTGTTAATTAAAGCTTTGTGGTAGAGGACAGTTAGTGGTATGTATCAAGAGACTCTATGGCCAGAAGTTAGGAGATGTGCAAGAGGATGGTGTACTTCAAAGCAGCAAAACTAAAGAGTGAAAAAGGGGATGAGGTGGTTCAAAAGTGTTGAAAGTGGCAGTGATAGCTGGGGAGCTGGTAAAATATATCTCATAGGAAGGATAACAGTAGAATCCACATTAGAGCTGGAGATAATTGTGGCCCAACAATTTCCTCCCTGACAACTGAGAAGCAGTTGCATATGAGGGGAATAATGGCTGTTCTGCAGGTGTCGTGAAGAGTTTTCTTTGACTTTTTAATAATGATTTGAGATGCTAATTTGTGTATCCTTATGAAATGTTCTGCTATTTGAATCAATGAGCCTAGATTTCTTACTTCTGATGGCAGTGCCTTCTTTCTTGCAAATGAATTCAGCATCTGAAACATATTAGGTTATAGCGTGTGGTTCAACTTGAATTTCGTATTGTATGTGGAAGCATGAAAAATGTGCTGCATAAGGGAAGTTTAATGTTGATGTACTGCTAATTCTTTGAGCTAGTCTGTCTTCCTGAAATTGCATTTCTATCTTGTAATCTACTTTTGGTGTATAAGAAACTGTAAAGGTAAAAAATATAAGCTTCCTTATATACTGGCATCAAACAATTAAAACCATTTTAGAAAATGAAAGCATGGGGTTTCCCATTTAGATTTTTTTGTGTTTTGTTTACCTTGAGTAATAAAAACAACCACTCTCATTTGTAACTTTTGAGTGCTAAACATTACAATGGTTGTTCAGTTTCCTTTCCTTTGGAATTTTACTATTAGCAAAATTTAGTTTAAAAATATTCTATGGTGTACAAGTTTTTAAAGTGTTTAGTATTTCTAGTGTTGTTTAAATATAATGTGCTTATTCAGAAACTTACCTGTAGACCTTTTTACACCTTACCTTAAATCTCCTGGAATTTCTGAATTGTCTGAATCAAGATTGTGCTAGTTTTATTTCTAGAGGTTACTAGTACGTTGCAATCTTATTGTTTTTTCAGATCATGTACAACATCTCTGAGACAAATAAATAAAATAATTGAGGAAATTTCACCTCAAGCTGCCGACAACAAAAATATTAGCAGAAAACTAGATTCTGTAAAACGGCAAAAGTATAACAAGGTAATTGGATTACATTAATTTCCTGCTAACAATACTTAGTTTGTACTTTGTCTTAAAGTTTGGATTTTGTGATATAATTCTGAATTATATAGTTCACAGTTAATCTACAGTTGCTGTTCCTTCCCTTTGAAATGGTTTCATTTTCTACCAAACATACAAATAACTATATTTAAAGATGTGCAAGTGAGAGCTGAATTTTTTTTTTTATTCCAAGTTTTGGAACAAGCTCTAAACCTGAAGTTCCAGGACCTGCTCAGAAGACGAATTTGCATTAATTTAAACAAAAAAAAACCTCCCAGCAGTGTTTGGAGAATTAGCAGAGCATTATTAGGGTGTGATTCAGTAGTTGACCTAAATCTGAGCTCTCATGGTTTCATTCCCTATATTCTTTTCCTTAATCTTCTTTCGTTGTCTGTATCTTGTATCAGTACACATCATTCTTTTCTCTGAGCCTCTAACTCATCCATTTGTCAGAAGCTGCTCCAGCTTTTTCCTTCCGGAGTGGTAGGTGAAAGGAGCTGTAGAGCAGTGTAGCAGGCATTAGGACAATGTAAGCAATAGACCTTTACAGCTGTGAGTAGGAAGGAGATTTGAGAAAAGGGAAACTTCTGCTGATCAGGGATGTAGCACCTTGATCAGCTCACTGTCTGCTGGAAATTCACCTTCAACTTTCTCTAATGATAAACCGAATTGTGAAACTTGCTGTCCTTTGCCCTCAGACAGGACAGTCTCAGGCTATTTGCCACAGACTCATTTGCTTGTTTGTTTTTTAGCCTTTATAATTTCAGCAACTTGGATAACACCGTGCTCATAATTCAGCCAATTAAGACGGTGATGGGGGCAGCACTGAACTGTGGCACAGGACTAGGAACAAGCAGATAGAAGTAGTAGGAAGAAATGCATTAAACCAGACTTATAAATAAAGACTGATCATGTAATTGGGCACTGTATTTTGCTTGTTTTCATATTGCTTGAAGTGATTTACACAAGTGCTAGTTTCAGGAGAAGTTCAGACCTCGTTTCAAGTTCATCTTTGAAGTGTAAGAAAAAATTTCCATCCGAAAGCTATAATCCATAAAAGTGCTCCTAATAGCCTGAGGAGTGTTTTTGGAGGCTGCTTGGAGGCTGGCACTGTATTTAAAGCTGGTCTTGAGCTACTTTTGCATGGAGAAGTGCTTTTTAGTACTCTTCCTTTTGTAGTATTTTTAAAAAATTACTGGAGATGACTTCTGTTATTGAGACAAATGGGAAATTAAGGACTGGTACAAGACAGCTGTTTCCTCAGAGCAGACATAAAGGACATGTTGTATGATACAAAGTACTCTGGTAGCAAGGATAATAGTGCATACACAGGAGGTAATACATTGTACCATACGTGAATACACTTACCCTTTGTGGTTTGAAAAGTGCTACATGAAGACAGGAGCAGGCTAGTGAACGGTTCTTCATCAAAAAGAAAAGAAAAATTGCTCATTTTGTCTTGAACTTTATTTTTACTGAAGCATATGCCTCCCTGGGTAAGGAAGTATTTCCAGAGAATAGAATTACAAATGTGGAAGGTTACATTGCCCATGTCTTTGTCTTGCTGGTTGGAATGTTTCACAACACCAGGAATCATAACATCTGCAGTAAATATACAGCTGAGGATATTACAGTCGGATAAAAGATGTAACAGAAGAGCTACCTATCAATTATTTTCCTAGAAGTAATAAACTATACTTCTTATAGCATCTGTAACATTGATTTTTTGAAGTCATTTGACTTTTTAGTTTTTGCTGTGACCACTCCTGATAAGTAAATCTTACAACTGGACTTTTTGTGGCTTAGTAATCATAGTAACCATTAACCCAATCTTGCAATCATGAACAAAACTTTTGGTGTTCTCTCTTAATCTCAACCATCTGCTTGATGGGCTTCCTTCACTAGAATCAACACATTCATAAAAAGACCTTAAGAGATGTACATAAAAATGCGTAATGTCCACATGAAATTCGTGTGTGCAACAGCCTGATCTTACTGTACATATATGGTAAGATGATCATACCCACAAAATTGTGTGTCTTCTGTGGGTTGGAGCCCTACAGGTATTGTGACACTTTTTTGCACTTTTTTTTGTTTCAAGTGCAATACCGTAAACATTTGAATGTGAGATTCTGGTTGAGAATACTACAAATGTAGTAATTTAAGTCATGCTTAAAAGGATAGCAAGTTTATGAACCAGATTAAAAATTAAATTACATATCTAATTCTCATTGAAGGAGCAACAGCTGAAGAAGATAAAAGCAAAACAAAAGCGTCTCCAAGGAATTCTTGGTTTAACAGAGTTTGTTGATGAAGCAAATGAGATTGAATTGGAGGAAGATGAAGGTATGTATGGGAGAAGGCTGCTTTTTTTTTCGTTTGAAGCTAGTTTGTAAGACTTTTGCCAGTAATTAGATAAATTTCAGTGCCTGGCTTTCAAAGAGGGAGTTAGAACACTTATTCTCTACACCTGCAGACTTGCAGATCTTGGCATATTCATCTGGGAAGTTTTAAAAAATGAATGTTAATCTGCCTTCAGCTGAGTAGGGATGACTGAGGCACATTAGAGTATTGGGCTTAATAAATTGGAAATCCTAACATTTTTTTCACAGCTAATTTGATAAAGATGACTAACATCATGATTGAATTACATTTTAGATGCTGGATGCTATCAATCAGCATTAACAAAATTGTTTTTTCTTACTGTTGGGAAGTATCACTAGAAATGGGAGGGGGATGTACATCTCTTTTGCAGGCTGCAATGTGATTTTTTTTAAATTAAAAATAAAATTTCTTCCAGAGCAGGACATATGTCCTCTGTGTTTTTGTAGGTGTTCTTTCTCACTGCTGTCTGCAAACTGAGCTTGGATTCTGTAACTCCAGTTTAGCTGTGTCTTGGCCACAGTCACTAATCTGCAATATTCTACAGGGCAAGTTTGAATCCCACTGACATCAGTGCATAACCTTTGGGTTATATTATTGTTTGCAGAGGAAAAAATTTTGTGCTATTCGTCCCATTCAAATGTGGCTGGAGTGGATTCCAGATCTCACAGAGCTCATGCTTCTCTCCTGATTCGATAAAACTTACAGTTGTCAAAACCTCCGTAAACTTTTCTCAGTGGAAAAGCATCTTTAATCCTTTTTCTTTGAATGGGTTCATGCAGCACAACTCAGGCACCCAATATGTTGAAATGTAACTAGGAAATGAGTGGAGACCAACAGAAGAAGTGGAATAGAGCAGTTCCAGTAGGAGGGGGTGGAGGTGGAGAGGTTTCATGCATCATCATTGCTTGTTAAACATACAGTGCTTTAAATGGGACCATAATCAGTAGCATGCTGGGCTGGCAATTCTGATACAGTTATTTTGAAGTTTTGGACCCCAATAATAGATTTCAGGCCAGGATTCCCCTTCAGTTTCCTGAATTCAAGAGCTTTTCTTCCTCTTAGGTTTCAGACACTAGTTACAGTTTGTGTATAGTAGCTGTATGCGCAGTGTAACTAAAGTGCTCTTTTATGACAAAATGCTGTGCAGCCAATCTGACTTTTAAAGTCATCATGCTAATATTAGTATTGTAGGATAAGAAGACAGACTTTGGGTTTTTTGATTTATTGATTTGGGTTTTGGGATTTTTCTGAAGCATGTGTTAAGATAGTCTATGTGTTTTGTAAGATTTGTGTCTATTCTGGTGTGATAATCGAAATGTCAGATCTCAAGCTTATGAGTAGGACTGAAAAGTCAGGAATAAAATGGAAATGGGCAATGTTGCTGCATATGGGAACACTGGTTTCTTGCACTGAACATGGTGACATGGGTGGTATTGACAGCATAGGTGGTACATTAGAGTTCATGTGCCATCGGGGACTGTAATTTTATCGTAGTTCTTGCTGCTGTGTATTGTTTCAGAAGTATTTGCATTTTGATAGTAGGTATAATATTTCCTATGTGAAGTTTGAGAAGTAGGTTGAAGTAAAAGTCTTGGCCTTTTTGACCATCTGTTCTGTTGGGTTTTGCCATTTTTAAACTTCAAGTATTATGTGTGATGATAATTTGGAATTTAAGTTGTATATAAAAACTGAGCTAACCGCCCTTGTTCCTGTGTTTTAGTTATACAGAAGGTGTTAAAGGCATGCTGTATGTTCTGATTTTTGTTGTAGAACCTGGCCCCTCATGTCTTGGTAGTATGCTTATGCCTGCTCAGGAAACAGAGTGGGAAGAACTTATTCGTACTGGTCAGATGACTCCATTTGGAACTAAAATACCTCAGAAACCAGAGAGGAAGACACGACAATTACGACTGAATGAAACATCTGATTTTGAGAAGTACTTAGCTGACCAAGCTAAGCTGTCATCTGAAAGAAAGAAGTTATCCCGTCGCAAAGGAGCAAAGAAGAAAGCACAAGCCAAAAGTGTTCCATGTATAGCTCCCACAACTACTACAAAGGAAAAAAGTGGTAAAGCCCTGTCAAAAACAGATAAGCGCTTAAAGAAACACATGAGAGAACTTCAGAAGCGTGCCCTTCAGATTCAGTCAAAGGCCAGGATTCCAAAGGAAAAGAAGTATCCTGAGACCAAGAAGTTCAGGCATGACGAGGAGGATGATAGTGGGGAGTCCGAGTATGTACCTGATGAGGAACTTTTCGATCCAGAAGCAGCAGAAGAGGAGGAAGAGCAGACATCTTCTCTTGCTGAGAATGATTCTGATTATGAACTTAAGAATTTATCAAGAAAAAGAAAACGTTTGGTGAAGAAGGTTTTAAAAGAAGCTGAACATGATGCTAACTTTGTTCCAAGCTCTGAGGAAGAAGAGCATACACCGGGGAAGCACAGAGTAAGAAGGTGGAGAGATGATGGAGATGTGGACTATTATAAACAGAGACTAAGGTTAGTCCTAGACATTTTTATTAGTAATATTAATAAACTGTGTTGAACATGCAAAGGGCAGTGTCTGTAATACTTCAATGCACTTCCTAGCAGTGTAAGGGAAATCTGGCAGTGTAAGGGAACATAGACTTCCAGAAGGAATCAGACATACTTATCAATTACTTATTAAGTTCTTATTAATATAAGAACTTTGCTGTTAGATTAAGTATATATTAAAAAAGGTATTACTTGGCAGCTTTGTACTTAAGTGCTGCCTTTATCTGTAGATCATATACCCACCTTTCCAAAAAAAAAAAAAAAATTAACGTCTTCTGCTTGATAGGTGAAACTACTGTGCAGACAGTGCCCTCCCTCTTCAGAGGGGTGTCACTTTTCCACTGAGAGAGAAATCTTTGGTTTGGGATGGGGTGGAATGCTTAGTTTTCAGTTTTATGTAATTAACTGCTAGTCAAGAAGAAATAATTTGAATAAATTACAGTTACATACTATTTCTGTAGAATCTGTTACTTTATTTAAATCCAAGGCATTTATTTATAGTTTATATGGCTAACAAGTTTATTTGAAAATCAGTATTAAAAGAATCTTTTGAATTTAAACTGGAAATGACAATATATTATTTAATCAATATCACATGATATTGCTTGTATAACTTATGTTAGAAGTCACAAGTAATTAACACTGGACATTTATACTGCTCTTAGTCAAGTCTAAAACAACCTGCTCTGTTTGACAGTGATTTTCCTCTCTGTTCTTGATGAGAGTGAGGGTAAAAGCTTCCTCATCTATAGAGATGGTGACAGTGGTGTTAATAGTGATGTTTTCTGTTGCTACAATGACCTAAGGTTGTAAACTAAATAATGTTTGTAAGGAGAATCTAGTGTGCCAGGTGGGAAAATACTTGTTCTAAGCTAAGAACAAGTTCTTTTCAAAAACGGCAGCTGAAACACCTTGTACTAAGCTGTGACTTATGAAATTTGTATAACCTATGTGTTAGTCATCTCTGGGAAGCTACAGGGTGTGGTTGAGATGTTTTCTCTGCTGATAGCATAGCAGTTGAGCTCCTTACAATAAGACTGCAGTGTTTCCATTTTTCACAACTCAATGGAAAACATTTTGAAGAGGCAATGAAATGACATGTAATTTGTTAAGCTGTTAAAATGCTAACTAGACATGCCAGTGAAGTTATGAGACTCTTCTGGACACACTGGGAGTCAAAAGATCAAGATCACTAAAATGGTTGCTTTAATTGTTCTGTAATGACTGGCATGTTTCTTTTCTAGTATAAGGTTGATCTTCATATAGTAAACTTCAGCTTGTTGATAGCATGTTTACTTTCAATTAATTACCTTTCATGAATGCCCTTCAAGTAGTTATATAGTCCTCTAGAAAACCACGGAACTTGAAAACAGATGTTCCAGAGCAGAAGGAAGAATATATATTAGGTCTGTCAGTGAAGGGTGATTGATGTAGAGATAAAGCCTAGCATAAAAACTTGATTAATGCTTTGGAGGCTCCAATTTTACATTTCTATGGAAATATAAAATCTTATGTATTTAAATCAAGCTATGTCAGAGAAGGAATCAAGAAGTAGAGGTATAATCACCATCTCTTCTGGAGTGAGAGCCTGGGTTGCTGTGGAGGAAGGGGTATCTTCTGGTCACAGAGGTACTGAGGTTGTAGAAAACCTCCCAAAGAAAGGGCCCAACTTCACTTTGACATCCCAGGTTATCAAGGCAGATCAGCACCTGATATAAGGCAATAGGTTTGCAATCCCAGGATGTTACCCTTCAAAGTTAAAACATGATTTATTGGTCTTGAATAGAAATTCCAGCAAGAGGCTAATCTGAACAATATCCAAAGGGTCAAAAAGAAATATGTTTTCTGTTGGATGCATTAACAAAAATTTATTGTTCTTATCGGTAAAATATTTACTGTTTTACTGAATAAAACTGTATTCTTCACATTTAAATTAGACCAATATTAAATCATTTTTAATTCAGTGTTTTCATCAAGAGTAATTTATTTTGATTGAAAGTTTTAATATGACTCACAGTTTAAATTCATTCAAAAACGTTTTTTAATAACGTTAAGATTGTGACAATTTATCCTTAGCAAAGTCATATCATAGACTACATTTCTTTTGGTTACTGAAGTTACAATAAAAGCCTAAATGAATTTTAGAAATATCAATAACTGTAATTGCTACCAAAACACTACATCTCTTAAAAATTTCATAGCTACAGTTATTGTGGCTGTTAAGCTGCAGCTGTCCACATTGATGTTTTTATGCTGACATCCCCAGGTAATCTTCATTATGGGAAATGCCACAAGAAAATAAAATGTAGTGAATTAAGAAACATATTAAGAATGCTATAGAAATGCTGTCATTTTCTTATGTTTATATCTTGTTTCATGTCAGTTTTACTTTTGAATGCAAACGAATGGGTGAGATTATGGTGTATTTTACCCGTGAGAGAGGCAGAGGAAAACCCTTTAGGATTACTTTATTCTTCTGAACATCTAGTCTTGTGCTTGGTGATGAATGCAGTCCTATACTCTTAGAGATTGAAAATGAGTTTCCTTAACATTAAAACTTTTCAGAGATGGGACTTCAAGAAATTGGTCTGTGTCAAGGGGAAACTACATTGATGCTGTTGAAGCATGATAATGAACTAACTGTGCAACTGCAGAGCATCTCTGAAAAAAGGGACTGCTGTCAGAACAGGAGCTGTTATCTGCAGTAAACATCAGGCAGGAGAGTACCCAACTCTTTCCTTCTAAAGGCTACTTGCAGTGGTTGGCCTAGTCATTTAAAGCAAGATGTGATCAGTGGAACATGAAAAACTAAAAGTTAGTTATACAGAATTCAGCTCAGGCTCTCAGTAATTTCATTTCTTTTTCCTTGTGTGGGTCTTGCTTTCTCTTAGTTACTGTTGCTAGAACCATGTTACTGTGCAGAGATGCAGGTGAAAAAAAAAAATCTTCTGTTCTGAAAGGTCAATGTCTAAGGTGAATCTTGCTATAACTATAACTTGCTGTAACATCAGGGTTATGGAAAGTAAGATAAATAAGCCGGATACTGTCAAGCACCTATAAAATAAGTTTAAGATTCAGTGAAATTGTCATTGCCAGCTGTCCTTCATACATTACCAGCTGAACCCAGAGGCTTAGGTAAGCATTCTCCGGGTTGCTGCTGAATGTCTCAGAGACTTATCCCTGTCAGCAGGTATGTTACCAATGTGTCTTTCGTCATACTTGACAGTGACCATCTTGGTCTAGAAGTGTTCAAAATTGGAGCTGTGGGATCTAAACCTGCAGCCTCCTGTCTGGTCAGGTAGAATGGTCAGGTGTCATGGTTTAACCCCTGCCAGCAAACAAGCCCGCCCCACCCACCCAGCAGTGGGATCAGGGGGAGAATCTTTAGGGTAAAAGCAAGAAAACTTGTGGATTGAGATACAGACAATTTAATAGAGAAAGCAGAAGCTGCACACACAAGCAAAGCATCATGAGGAATTAATTCAGTGGTTCCCATGGGCAGGCAGGTGTTCAGCCATCTCCAGGAGAGCAGAGCCCCATCATGTAGCAGTTTCTAGGGAAGACAAATGCTGTCACTCCAAACGTCTCCCCCTTCCTCCTTCTTGCCCCCCATTTTATATACTGAGCATGATACTGTATGGTCAGGAGTATCCCCTAGGTCAGTTTGGGTCTCCTGTCTCAGCTGTGTCTCCTCCCAGCCTCCCACACACCCCCAGTCTCCTCACCAGCGTGGCAGTACAGAAAGCAAAGACCTTGGCTCTGTGCAAGTCCTGCTCAGCAATAATAGAAACATCTCTATATTATCAACCCTGTTTTCAGCACAAATCCAAAACACAGCCACATACTAACAACTGTGAAGAAAATTAGTCCATCAAAGACCAGCACATCAGGTCATGGCAGAGCCAGTTTCTTTGAAGACTATGGAAAAGAGTGAAAATGAGCCTGTTTTCAACTTTTTGCCTAGAATCCCAAAAGAAAAGTAACCTTATATGCATATTAAATGCATAGGAAATAAACCTTTTTTTTGTCTGTTTTTTTTTCTCAATAAGAAAACTGCTGTATGGTTTTCTTGCATAATTCCCAAGCTTAGCAGATGTAGAAACTGCAAATTATCAAGAAATTTCTTTTTTAATATTACTCACAGTTTTCCTTTGCATGTCTTAAAATGCCAAGCAAAAGTATAAAAAAGTAATTTTTGCTGCTTATATGTAGTTACTATGTTAAATTATTGGCATCAGTAATACAGTATCTGCATAAGGTAACAACTTGGGGTCAAAACAGAAATTAACAGTATTATGGACACTGTTCCCATAATTATCAGTATGTTGCTTCAAGACTACTGCTTCAAGCAAGCAATTACATGTCATCTTAAGGGAGATATCTATGTTTTTCTGTGCATTCTGTATAGTTTGTGGAGTAGAGCTGTTTGACTTCTATTGCTGTCAAGTGCTCAAAGGCAAGGCTAGGAAAGCTACTTCTTTTCATGTTCACCAAGTGATGTCCGAGCAGCTGAGTAGATGGAAATTGTGGCTATCAGTATACAAAGCAGTTGATCCAAGGAATCAAACAAAAAAATCAAGATTTGTTTTAAAGTTGGGTTTCAAAGATCAGTTTTCGTGTGCTAGCTTTCTTTGATGTATCTGAGTCACTGAATCTCTTGGTGTTTCAGAGTTATAAATTAAAAAAGGTTTAAATATTACCTTTCCTGAAAGATACTTTCTTAGAGCATCCCAACTGCTCTTTAGAATGACAAAGCCAAGACATAAATGAAGATATATTTTATCTCACTTGCTGAGTACACCTTTCATTCTAAGCTCAAGTGTGTAATTGTGTACATCAGTCTTAATTTACTTATGGAGAATCGTGGTACTAACTGCATGTATTTCATCTGTTAGGACGTACCAATTAAATCCATCCATATAGACCATAAAAAGTTAGATCAAAAAAGTAATACTGAATACTTCAATTTAGCAAATTAGAATAATCTGTAAGGGATTCTTAACTGTATAAAATATAAAACATATTATGCTTCACAAATGTAAACTATATTAAATACTCAGCTTGGTTCCTGACTGTATTTTTTTAAATGTACTCATTACTGTTTTGGGTGCAGAATTTCTTTCTAGGGTATTGCAGTAAGTAGGAAATGGGCTTAGTATCTGAATACAGTCTTATATTAAGAAAAATTTAATTGTATGATATATGGCTTTCATACTTCACTTTCAGGATAAAATTGTATTTATGGCATTGATCATGGACAACATAAGATAGATTTCTTAAAGGTCATGCTTCTATTTTCAAAAGACCTTGGCGATATAGTAAAATTTCTATTTTCTGATTGTTTAAACATACTAATGGTTTAACTGAGATGCGTAAGGAATGTATCAACCAAATGGTCACTAAGTTACTGTGTGGTTACGTTGAAGATGAGCTGCTGCTGTTTCTCCCTCCAATGTTTGACTTCCAGGGAAAGGTACAAGACCAGATTGACCAACTGTGACTGATCTGGTCTAGCAAATAGTTTTTGTCCTCCCATTGCTTCACCCATTTAGATATTCACACTTTTTAAAAGAAAGTAATCAAGTTTTAGTGTAGAATATCTTAATGCTATGTGTTACATGAAGTTTATAGCCTTTCAGAAACGGAATAGCTTCTTCAAACTGTGAAAGTTTGTAGTAATAACAAGTTGCTGATTTTTCTTTGAAATGGTAATCAAGTGCAAAAAAACCTCCTGACATTTGGGTGAGATGTGTTACGAGAGCATTCAATACTACAGCTGGAGTAATTACACACTTCAATGAAATAACAGAAACAGTGTGTGAAAAGTAAACTTTAGTAAAGTTAAGTACAGGTTTTATTAGTTCAAGTTCTAGATGTATGTATTTTCTAGGTATCTAATAATTTTAGGAGAAATCCCAACATCGATCACAGTTACAGAAAATATAGTAGTTACACTGAGTGCCTAAATTTCTGGACAGCTTCGAGCTGATCTCAGGCCGCTTCGTCTTGGTTGTTTCTGGGTCACTTTTTCTAATGCACACTAGAGGGCAATCTGCTTCTTCCCAGGGGATGCTGGCGCTCCAGTGCTGGCTAGTGGTGATTCACGTTGGAGTATCGAATTAGAAGCAAACCCTTGTACAAATTATTGCTCTGCTTGGGTTTAGCATGGATTGTTTACCTAGATGTCTCTTTGGAAGCTTTGTAATCTGTAGTTTTGATTTTAGTGTGATAGTTACAGTTTCCTTCCTTGATTTAAGTCCTGTCATAGCCCACTCAGATAAAATAATCAACTTCTAACATGTCTCAGTTCTAGTAGTGACAAAGTCTGAAGCAATGACTATCAACATTTGTCAATTTGAGTCAGAGGCAACCTGAATTAACAAGAAGCTGTTTGTCTAGTGGGTAAATGGTAGCATGTTACCAGGAGGGAAGCAGACTGTTCACTCACCTATAATGTTTGTCATTCAGAAACTGGAGCTGTGCTGACACTGTTGCATCCTGTTGAGTCCTCCTCCATCCAGTTACTGCAGGACTGTTCTAGAGTTCACTTTACAGGGTTTCTTCAATGTAGAGTGAAAAGTTTGGGCAGATGAGTATTCCAGCATCTCGCTCATGATACTGTTTGTTGTTTAATACAGTAATTTTCAGTGCTAGGTGTCTTAACTTACTTCTCTTGGCCTGAATTTTTTGTTCACCGCTTTTCATCCCATCACTACTATTTATAGTTCCTTGGGACCTAACAATTTTAATTTTCATGTTCCATATTTCAGATACTTCCAGACTATCAGATCTCCTTCTCCTTCAGACTTTTTAGGAGAAGAAATGTGGCTGCTTTTGTGCTGCGTCCAGAACAGTAGCGTAAGGATAGTTTTAGTCTGTTCTGTAGCTTACCAGTTCCTGTAGGGATTTCGTCAGCTTATACACCACATTCGGTGTACCTGCAGTGAATGGCATTTATATGAGAGAATTCCAGCAAAACCCAAATTGTAAGTGAAGTGCTGTTGATTAATATATACCCAGCTAGTGAACACTCGACCATCAGGGGCAGATGGTTTTGGGTCACTAAAACACAAGTCCATAATTTCATTGGATAAGGAATATCCTTTGGTACTTTTTCAGCAGTGGGAGAATGATGGGACAGGAAGGTAAGTCTCTAAGCTGCCTGGAGTTCAAATAACATGAGACTGCAAACCACAAATTGCTCTGTAATTTCAAAACCTCATAAAACTCGATAGATTTAGAGCACATCACCCTGAAGATGGTGATGTTTCTACCTGAATCTTCTGTATAAGATTATACACTGCTTCACATTCCCCTAGGGGAAGTTATTTAAGGATTTGGTTGATAAAATAGTTTTGGAATACCTAAGATTTATTGATGTTTGGGGGGGGGGGGGTGTTGGAGAGATTTAGGAATTTAAGGTAGCCAGATTTTTTGATGGTGTTAGGTGTTGATTCTGTTATATTAGTATTTCTGTCTGTAGAATATCGTAACTAGCTATAAAACTCTGAAGGCTTGTAACTAAATGCACCTTTGAATATATGAGATATTCTGAACATTTACTTGCATAATTCAATCCTCCAAAAGATTACTGTTTTAAATCATTATGTCAGAGAATGTGTTCTTTTTGGGTTTTTGCCTGATTGAAAATTCTGTGTCATTTTCATACACTTTCTTTTCCATGTTATAATTGAGTGTTGACTCTTCATGTCATTCCAGGAAGTGGCAAAAAGAACGTTTGAAGGACAAAGAACATCAAACAGCTGAGGAACTTTCTGAAGAAAGTGATGTGGAATTTGAAGAGGGTTTCAAAGTACCAGGATTTCTCTTCAAAAAGCTATTTAAGTATGTATTGCATACTTTATGTTAATATTATGCTGGTGTATGCTGTTAATAATATTGGTACTAATTAATAGTCATGATGAATTCCAGATGCCCTTTACTGTAACTTTTACTTCAGTCAACGATTCCTCAACTTTAACTTCAGTTGTTTCAGTGGGATTCTTTCTTTTAAAAAAGGTTCCAGGACTGAACTTCAAAGAAATTAATTTACTGAGAGCACAAAATGCAGTTACAAAAAATTACAGATGATAACTGGCTGATGTGAATGTTGTGGATGGGTATTACCTAAACTATGAATGGAGAAGTTCTCCTTGTCTATTTTTTAAACGCTTTCTTTTAGTGGTACATACTTGCTCTTAATTCAGGTGTGGAGTTGTAGAATTACTTCAAACGTAATATGTTGGCAAGATGTGATAAATGAAAACAAGAAATATGGTGTTTCTGTGATTGTGTGGAGTGCGTGAAATTTTATGCCAGTAAAAAATACATACAACTTTTTCTTTAAATAACTACTCAAAGTCTACTCAAAGTAACTACCTGTAATTCATATTATGAAATAATATTGAATGAAGTAAAGTTTTAAAATATAGAGTGAACTCTTAATTCTTTTAGTAGCTGGAAAACAGTCTGCAACTCATTCTTTAGTTATTTAATGCTGGATTACAGATTTGGACATAACTCCTTTGTGTTTCAGTTTTTTGAGACGTGGTGCCCAGTGATGCTTTCAAGTTCATCTCAAAAAGCTATTTACAAAAGGCAGCCCGAACAAGCTAGCAGCTGACCAGTTATCTTCATTCATAATCTCTCCCTTACATTTCATGCATGATGGACTTGAATTCAATTTTGTTGACAACGTTTCACACAGCAGGAAAAACATCTCTTTCAAAAGCAAACTCTCTAAAATCTTATTGTTGTGGTAGAAAGCCCTGGTTTATAATGGGCATATGTGGTATCCCTTCCAACAGAGCCACTTAGTCTTGACCTCAAAGAAATTATTACTGTTGTTCTGTAGTCCTTGGAAGGAAAGCACTAGCTCTGAAATGGAATTGAATTAATGGCTTGATTGCTGGGACCATCCAGAGCCAATATGTGGTCTCCAGTTGTTTATGCAAAGGTACTGCAGAAGTATTCATCTTGAGGATGGATGTGTGGTCTGAGCAACCCAAAGGGAAATAAAATAAAGCAGACACTAAAAATTAATCATAGAGTTGCAAGCCTCACTAATGAAGGGTATCCCTGCAAGCATGAGTCAGTTGGCAAAACCTCTTAAGTGGTTAGAAAGATCAATGGAGTTGAATGATTCGTCTGACTTGTAACTTAAATGCTGATATCTCCAGTGTAGGAAAGCCCATGGTCAATAGGCATTAAACTGTTGAGTTCTGAGCAAGTTTCATACAAAACATGTAAGTATATTGACCTGAGGACGTACATAGCATGTACTGTGAATGATCTTCTTGCATAGTTAAATTACACAGAAGTTAGCTCATGCTAGAAATAGAAGAGCCTCAAGTTCGTCCTTTGGCAAATCTGTTAAAGTGGATGATCTGTTTCTTCCCTCTATGCTTGTCTGCTTTGATGAACATTCAGCAGGAATAGCAATGGTACTGCTGTGGAGCAAAACCAAACAGACTTGAAAACATTGCCTTATGTACTGTCTGCACTTAGCCTGAGAGAATGCTGTCTGTATTAAAAAGAAGACAGGTTTCATCGTTATTTGCCTTCAGTATGTGATTTCCCTGATATATCTGAAATGCAGTTTTGTCTCCACAACAATGCAGCTAAACTGTGGTAGCTACTGTGATGAATTTTAAGGGATGCATCACAACATGATTGCTCGTGTGAAAAACAGTCCAAATATAACTATTTTGGAAGACCAGCACTTTTATTTTATTTCCACAGTATTTTTGGTATTAAAAAAAGGGGGGAACAAAAGTATAAGATTTGAAGAGAATTGATTGTCTCTCCATATAAGTACAAAAAATTGAAGGAGAGGTTTCCTTTAACTTTTGCATAATTGCATGTTTATATAAAAGATGATTATGCATGATTATACAAAGAAAGGACCTGCATCTTTTACAGTTTTAGATAACTTGGAGCAGGATTTTTCACAAACGTAATTCTCTACTGTGAAACTTTCTCAGGATAAGGAAGGTGAGAAAGAGAAATATGCTTATAAATGCAGCTACTTTAAGCTCTATATGTAATCCTAAAAAATAATACAAAATGATATCAGGAAGTTCTTGGATTAGTCTGGGGGAGCAGCTTCTGACTGGAATGAGGATTCCCTTCAATTCTTTACTATTTATCAGGAAATGTTTTGTCTTCATAAAATGTAGTAATGATAGCGTCTTAGCCCAATTATATCTAACCCTGCAAGCCATTTCATAGTTGTTTTATAGATTGCTGCATTTTAAGGTGAACTAATTTCTAATAAGAGGGGGTTTTTAAGGGCTTCTTGTCATAAGGCTTTTGAGACAGCAGTGAATAGTGTCATGTTTGAACCATTAGATGTGTTCTTTGATCATCTTTTTTTTACCTGCTTACGCCATTTGTTTGTCTCCATTTAGCTTTCTCTAAATCCATACAGAACTCATCATAAATTGATTTTTAATAGTACTTTGTAGACACTAGTGTCATGAACTGTTAGTAGTCCTAAATATTATTTGTTCAAGGAAGGAAACAGGATTTTGAAATGCACACAAGAAATCCCCTAGAATGAACAACCCCCATTAAAAAAAAAAAAAGTGTTTTGTTCTTTGCTTTGCTCTGCACTCCAGGAATACCTGCTGTCAAGAAAATTATATCAGTAACCTTTTTCTGCTAGTGAGTTAGGAGACAGAGAAGTGCTGAAACATGCTTGATTATTTATTTTTTTTTAGTGTGATTTAAAGATACTGTTTTTCATTTCTTTCTGTTGTTTTAATTTAACCCACACACATAATGTGTTATTCCTACTGGTCTCACTGTTTCATATAATTATAAAAAACCATGTTCTCCAGTGATTCTCAGTCCAGCATCTTATCTCCACCTTTTCAGCTTGCTATTGTAAATCTTGCTGTCCAGTCTTCTTATTTTAACTGGAATATGTTTTATATTGTTGCTTGTACATTTTCCAGTGAAGGACTGGGAAAAACTGCTCTAATGCTCTCATAATGTTCTGCTGCATCCCATTCCCTGCAATAGTTTCTGTTGTTTTGCCGTGGGTTTATTCTTCACTGAAAGAGACTAAATGTTATTAAATAAACTTATTTAGAAAGAAAAGAGGCTTTGGCAGATGAGATCAGGTTTTGCAGTTGAATATGAAGTCTGTACCACAGAGAAGTCAACCTTTTCATTGAGTTCAAGGTATATGTTCCAGATAATATAATTTATTAGACCCTTGCATGTCGTCTTTTCTGAGAAGATAATGCTTTGTAAGAGTAACTTTCCAAGTTGCTTTTAGCACTTAAAATATATATGAAATAAAATACCCTCTAATTACCATGACTATCAGTTTAATTAGAAATGTTTTAGTGTTGCATAAAGAATGAAAGTCACATGTAATGTCTGAGCCATCAAAAATGTATGACCTAGTAAATACAGCACTCATGTAAAACACACATCCAGCATGTTACTGTAACTAGTATAAGAACCTTGCCAAATGATTAATTAATGAGTACTTTCTGTTATGATCTGTATTATCAGACATTTGCCATTTTCTTTTTCCTTGTTTTAGGTACCAACAGACAGGTGTTAGGTGGCTCTGGGAATTGCACTGCCAGCAGGCAGGAGGAATTCTGGGAGATGAGATGGGATTGGGCAAGACCATCCAGATAATTGCCTTCTTGGCAGGTCTGAGCTACAGCAATATGAGGACTCGTGGTTCAAATTACAGGCAAGTGCTCCTCTGCAGACTGTCAGTCTGTGGAGCTCAATTAATATTTCATCAGATGTATTGCTGGTGGAGGAGGGTCCTGTGAATTATTAATGACATTTCAATTACAATATTCCTTTAATTCTTTTAGTGGGGGACATCAAAGGAAAAATTTTACGAGACAATGGAGCTGTAGGGCAGGAAAAATTAAACATGTAACACTTTTAATGAATTCCAGGCATTGATGCTTCATTTTGCAGATGAGCCGCGCTAGATATTTTGGGTCAATACAGTGTCTAAGGTTACCTTCCACAAATGGATTGTTTACAAACTCAATTACATTAATATCAATAGTTTACACAATATGGAATTTTAAATTAGATGTAATACCTTTAGTTCCATTTATTAAATTTTACGTTAAAATATTTGTTCTGGCAAACCACCAGGTAAATGCTTTACAGGAAGTAACAAGCTGATCTGCAATGAAAGTTAGAGTTTCTGATGGGCAGGGAATTATCCATGTCAAAAAGTAGTAGTAACAGTAAAACCAGTAACTTACACAGAGGAATTTCCATCTACTTTTTTTTTTTAATTGTTGTTGTTGCTTTTCAAAACATATGTTACTGTGACTGGCCTTTCTTACAAGATAATTTATGGTTTTTTGTTACTGAACAATACTTTAAAATTTCTTCTTCATAGGTGAAATTACCAGCAAGATACTTGCTTGTGTCCTTGGATTTGCAAATGCACACATGAATAATACTTGATTTTTCTACTTCTGTTGGCCTGTTTACGTGATGTAAATAGCTACATGCAATTTAGCAACTATCATAGGACTGTACTAAACAAAAATAATTATCTTTACATAGAGGTACGTTTAAATTATGTACAGCATGCACATGAATTGTAAAATAATGCTTTAAAGAGAAAATGTTCCTCTCTTTTCTCCAGTTACTTCTTATGTAAAAAAAGGTTAAAAAGAGGTCCTTCATCACTCAGGCCAGTTGATTTACTTCTTATATGACTGCCTGGTTAAGGATGCTACTGTACAGATCGTTTTGTGGGGTTATATTACCTACCCCACTTGGGGAACACTGAGCTGATGGAAATCGTTTAGGACGCCTCTTGACACTGTTACATAGTGTGAAACTACAGCAAAACTTTGAAAAGGCCAAAATCCATTTGCACACAAAAGTTACAGTGTTCTTTCTCCATGTAAGATAATGTGTTGAGTCTCATTTTTTGGCTGGTGCATGTTATTAAGTTGATCATGATAGTAATTCCATGGGAGGAAACAAGGTTTAATTTATTGGTGACACTTGCTCTGATGTTGCTTGTATGCTTTAAGGCAGAGGGTCTAAACAACTTGATCTTTCATAGTCCAGTATTTTCCTCATCTGGAGTAAGAGGGCAGTAATACTGGTTGACTAGTTTCTATCTGAAAGACATACTCTGGTAAGCAGCAGACCCTCTGGTCAGCCTGCCTGCGAGGTTGGCACTGGGGTGAACGCAGTTGTGTTGTCAGTGTGCCTAATTGTATTTTTTTGATTTTGAAGGAGCCTGAAGACTAGCTGAAGTAAGGAACTACTTGTCACATGGAGTAAAACTATTACAAAAATTAAAACGGCATCTCACTTTTAATAGTTATTGAGACATACAGGTGGGGAAAGCCAAATATTGTGATGTAGCTGTAGAGGTGGTGACATTGTGGTGTAAAGATACAAGGGAAGCAAGATTTTTGGAGGGGAAAAGATCTTTAGTTAGACCAGCTGAGATAGTAGGAACAAGCAACACCTTTCAAACCAACTGTCCCTTCATAAGGAAAAAAAGAAAACATCAACAAACTTAAGTGACCCATCTCTAGCCTGTATCTAGGTTGAAATCTTGTTGAAACCTGTTGAAGACTTGGGAGACCGTAAGTTTCCTTGTTTCCCAAATACGTTATTTTATTTAACAAATATATTATGTTTGACTACAGACGTATTTAATTGAGAGATCAGGTGAGAAACTGACAGAAAGTTTATACACTGATTATTTACCCATCTGTGCTCTTCAAGATACTGAGATATAATCATAAACAGCTCAATCTCTACTGTGAGTGGCAGAGATTAATTTCCATGGTGCTTGGGTAAATAAAACTCCATTGCCCCAGAAAGTTGGTCTTGCTGCTGTATTCTTTTATTTTCACTAGGGTTTAGTTACTGTTTCAGCTTGAAGGCATGATTTGCCAGTCCTTGGCAACAGAGTTGCTTATAATGCAACATGTTTTCCTCTGCTAATTTTTTGAGTACTTAAAGATTGTAAATATAGTATGACTACAGCTTCTTTTTTCGTGATATTAAGTTGCAGAAATAAATCTTATTTGCAATTCCAATTTGCTTCCAATTAAATAACAACAAATAAAGGATACTTGTTGTGAATTTGGGTTTTATAAACCAGGAGCAACGGAAGAAAGAGATTTGGGTATATTGATCATATATTATATTGACCATAAACTGTTACTACAATGCAACTGTGAAAGAGGGACAAAATACATTACGACAATATATTTGCAGTAGGAACAGGGCAGTACTGTTACCTTACAAGGCACCAGTAAGATTTTTATTTTTAATGTTTTTAGTGTTGCCTTTGTTCTAGGAAAACAAATATAAATTGAATGGACAGCAGATCAAATATGTTGCAGTGATTAGGGGAATGGAGGATGCCTTCTAAGTGTAGCAAACAGAAGTATGTGATTTGTTTAGTTTTGTGAAACAGCTCAGACTGGAAGAAGTTAGATGACTCTTTTATATAAATAAATAAAAACTCTCAAGAGAATAATAAAATGTTGGCTAGTGGAAAGTGGTTAGAGCCAGACTAGACACAGAAGAGGTTTCACACAACTGAGTGGAGGGGGAATGGATTTTCTGAAAATTGATCAAAGAGGTGTGAACTCTTTATGTAAGATGAAGGGGGGGAAAAAACTGGATAAACCCAGCATGTGAACTTGTGTGATACAGACCAGGGGAATAAACAGAGGTATTTTGTTACAACCCATGAAGAATGAGAAACTAGTATGTTCTGGGAAAGTTGGCTTTTTTGCTGTAGATATTTTTAAGAGCAATAACAGTGGTTATTTGGATTCATATCGTAGTTGAAGCTATTTTTTGCATCTCTTGAGTTCTTACTTCCCCTTGGGTTGCTGGGAGTTCTTTAATTAGACTATGTAAGGTTGTGTGATAGTATTTGTTCGTAAGCAACATCCAGGCTGTTATTCTGCATATGTATAAGCTTTTAATAAAGAATATTATTTCTTCATGTCAACAGTTTCTGAAGGCATTAAGACATTTGGTTCTTTTAAAGCCAGGTATTGATGGAGTCTGAGAAATCCTTCTTTATTGCTATCAGTGTGTGATCTTGAATGTATACTGTGATCTTTTACATTGTTTATTTATTACCACTTGAATGTACATAGTCAGCCAGACACAGATCAGTATGTCAACTGTAGCTTTTACCTTTGTTTGCAAAGTCATTTTGTTCTAGTTTTTAAAGACCAAATATATTTGAAAAATAATTGGTAGTAACCACTACTTAGTATATTTCCTGTGTAGTTGTTGGTATTTATATGTGGTGGTAATATTTCTTGTTTGGCTGTTGTGTGAGAGATTTTTCCCTTTTTAACCTTAAGAGTAGCTCTAAACTTAATATACAGAAAGACTTTGTTTCAAACTGCCTTAGTAATTCTCATAAACAATCGTGTGATTATGAATAAGAAACTTATGAGACAGTTTGAGCTGAGCTCAGTCCTCAACTTCCATGGATGATATAGTCTGCTGCTTTAGAGTCCATGTCTTTTCTGTAAATTATGATGATGATAGTACATTATATTACAAACATGAAGCAGAACACCTGTGTGTAAATCCATTTGTGAGACTCTAGCTACACATTCTGTATAATAGAAGTAATAAAATAATTGCTTGTTAATGATTTCTTTTCTCTTACAGAAACAGCAGTCACTAAAACCTGATTTGTAATATCACAGGAGGAAGTTCCCTTATGCCTTGTTGTTTGGAGCTTTTCTATTTCTGTTTATCTTGATAGATGCATCCATAAACTGTTCAATGGATAGATTCTTTTAGCAGTACCTTCTTCATCTTCCTTTAAAAAACAGACTTCCAGGAAAACAGAGTGCCAATTAATTTCCATAGCTCTCACATTCCACTCTAAACTATAAACTGTATCATTTTAATATGTGTGTATTTTAATGAGCCACTTAATACAAAGTATTTATTTCATGTTAAAGGTTTTTTTATCCTCAAATACTCTATTTTAGGTACCAGGGATTGGGTCCAACAGTGATTGTTTGTCCAGCTACTGTGTTGCATCAGTGGGTTAAAGAATTCCACACTTGGTGGCCTCCATTTAGAGTCGCTGTTCTCCATGAAACTGGTTCTTATACCAAGAGTAAGGTAATGGTTGACATCCATTTTGTAATTCCAGAGACTTTTTTTTTTTTGTATGCCCTTTCTCTGAATGTTTTAAAAGAACAAAAAGTTCACTGTCTTGTATAGATTTATTAGTAAACTGGACAAAAAAGTGTGTGACAGAATAGGTACATATTATGCATATTATGATTTAGACTTGTGTTACCTGAACAAATTAATCATAGTAACAGGTTTCTTGTGTGAGGCTTCCTTGTGCTGTAGTCCATGCTAGGAGTTTATGACTAGACTGCTTGTACACCAGATATATGCTTCTAGCACCTAGGAATTCTCTTCTTGCATTTCTCTGTATCAGTATGTCATTGATCTGATATTTAATACGTTTTGCATGCACGTACAATTTCTCTTCAGTTGGGCACTGTCAGTTGACATGACTTAATCTCATTTTCTTTCATGGCAGTGTTACTTTCTTAGTTTTCATTGTTTCAAACAGTGCATTTTCTGTCTTTTTAGCTTTCTTCACCACTCTCTTCATAGGCATGTTCTTAGTCTGTTTCTTAAGTTGGACAGCCTGACTTTTCTGAAGTTTCAAACTTTGGTACCTTGTAGGAACAAAACAAGGAAAACTTAAATTTTTACTTTCCCTTAGGTGCTTAAATGGATTTTCAGGATTCAGCAGAACATTTTTAATTTTCTCTTTAAATATTTATTGAGTTTATTGTAATAACATTAAAATGATATGTTGCTTAATTGCACTTGATTAAACATATTCTGAGGTAATTGATGCAGTTACAGTATATGGCAAAAAAGGAATAGCACACTCTAATGTGCTAATAGCTTCCTGTTGTTCAATTAACTTGGTGTGTTTTCAAGCCCTAAAAATCTGTTGACCTCAATAACATGCTTGCATGTCTTCCTAAATTAAATCATGTGTGCTTATTTTGGGCTATTTGTTAATTAATGGACTTGACAGAGTGGCTCAAATTTTTCCATCTGCAGGTATAGTCAGGTTTTCAAGGACTTCACCTTCCCGTTGTCCTCCCATAAATGTATATTCAACAACTTAAAATTATAAGCACTTTAAATAGGGCAGATTTAGAGAACTGAATCTAATGCCTCATCTTCTAAGAGCTGCAACAATATGCTTTAAAAAGTGTCACTGCTGATATGGTCTTAACTTCATGCACATTTTTTTCTTAGATACCTCTTAATTAGAGAAGAGCAAGCTAAAGTAAGAAAAAAAACCAACAACACACTTTTCCCATTCTAGTTGCTTTTATACCTGCAATAAAAGTTTACTACTAATTTATTAGCATAAATAACACTTGTGCACTGAAAATGTATCACACAAAATACAGGACAGATGATTTACTCCTGCATAGGATTTCTTTTCAATATATATTCTGTCTATGAATTCTTTGATGCTGATCTGATCTCGTGACAATTCCATCTTGTGGCATTACAGGAAGCTGCTTTTGCATATGTTAATTTTATGATACTCCTCCCATGACCATTCTGCCTTTATGCTCTGGCATAAGGCATAAACCTAACTAAGTTTAAGAAAAAAATTTTAAAATAGTGGTTATACTGCCTAAGAAAATATGTTTATTCTTTGAGATTAATTTTACGCGGCCAAAAGCCAACTTGCTGTGCACCTGTGGTCTCAGTGTTACACAGACCTGTTTGTAATTAACTGACAATTGCAGAATTGACCTATTATTCTGTTAGTGTATCATGGTTTATCACAAAATAAATGAGAAGAGTTTTGTGCTGGACAGCTGGCTTGCCAGGAGAGTATTGGGGAACTGAACTTTGTTATCAGCTTTGGAGTGAGAAAGGTCACTTCAGCCTCTAATGAGGTTAGAGTTATCTGAACCAGTGGAAGAACATAATTGTCCTCTGGATTAACTGGACATCAGACAGTGGATTTTGAGGACTACATTATCCTGTAGTGGTTGGCCAGCAGGTTGTTTGCTGCAGCTTGTTCTCTGTAGGCCTGTGAAAGAGGGACAGATAATTTCTAAGGAAAAGAGAAAGATTAAGTGTAAAACTATTGAATGAGATTTTTGGAAAAAAGGAGGTAAGCAATGACAGATGTCTCATAAGGCAAGACAGTATTTCATAGCAGAAAGAGACAACAGCTGAAGATTCATTTGATAAAATTTAAGTTGATGTTTTAGGTGTGATTAGTGTACGTATTTTTTACCATAACATTGTCAGGAATCCTGAAATATTAACAAATAGTAAATCTTTCAACATTGGTGAAATTATGTGCTTTTATGAATAGGCAATTTGTGTTGCACCTTCCAAGATACAAAAACATCAGTGCAAGAACCTGTCTCCCACTTCTTTAGACTTGCCCACGGAAGTATTTCACTTGACAGTGAAGAGTGGGGAAGACATCTGTTCTGATTGTTTTATCATAAATTGATACCAGGCAGTACCTTACACATCTGTTCAGTTAGTGACACTTCTTTAGTGTTACAGTAGGACTTCTGAGCAATGTGGCAAGTGAAAGGCTCACCGATTTTGTTGTTGTTGTTTGGGTTTTGGTGGTTTTTTTTTGTTTTACCTTGACATATCCTCTCTTCCCATTTTGGTTTTCTTTGCAAGCAATTACAAGATTTTTGGAATAATAGTATGAAATAACAGTCTGAATTGTGAGCACCGGATTGGCCGCCAGTCTTATCAGCCAATTTCAGATCAGTCATTGAGACATCCCACTAAGATACCTCTGGGTCTATAATATTTGTGTAGGTTTTTAGCATATGTGAAGCTTCAAAAGGGAGATTACTTTATTCCTTTGCTAAAATAACAAAGGTAGAAAATTTCAACAGTGAAGGAGAGAAGTCTGAAGTTCCAGTTTCATCCCCTGAAATATACCTAATAATTTAAAGACCTTCAGCTATCCTCAAGGGAAGGCAGATTGGTATTTTAGATAGTGAAAGTGAAGATACAATAGAAAGTTGAAGGGGTTTCCAAAGCTTCTGAGCTACTATGGATGAAACGTAAAACTTGCCCTTTTTTTTATTACTGTCATTTGTGATCACAGAAGATCATTTGGTTCTTCTGTGATGAAAAATGTGCTTAAGTTGGAAGCAGTAGGAAAAACCAGATTTAAGTAATAGTCTTCCTTTGTGAAGTCAACTTTCAGTTTGAACAAGGTATAGCATTCGTGGCTAAATATTTCCTGTGGTGCTGTCTTACGCTATTAAGCTCCTACTATGGTTTATGGTTAAATCTGATCTGTAAACATTGAGTGCTCTGAGACCTCTAAGGATGAGAGAAAACAAAGAAGTAAATCTAATGTAGTGTATCACAAATACTATTTTATTTATGATATAGAACACAAGGTTAGGAGAAGAAAACTGTGCAAGTGTTGGTAAAACAACCTTCTATACAAAGAGCTTGTCCTGTTGTTTCAAAACTTCTGTTGGCACATAAACATTTGTAAATTGTAGAATGTAAGAGGGAACATGAACTTTGGTTATCTTGTTTAACATAGCATATATAGAAGGAGACTGTGTTTTTTAAGTTCGAGGCTGAATTTCTAATTTCTTGATCTTTAGAACACGTAACACTGAGTTTAACAGTTCTTTAATGGTAATCACATAGCGTTTGTAAAGGTGCAACTTTGTAAAGCTGCAACTTTGCATTCCCTTGTTCTGGTCAAATGCAGGACACACAACACAGCCCTCAAAAGCAGTTGTCAGTTCATGCTGTGAAACCATCTACTTGAAGATGCCTACACACTGAAAACTTCAGACCTTCTACTCTCACTGTAGAGTACATAATCTACATGCAAACAAAATAAGCCTCAGAGGTTATGGTTATCAACTCACTCTATATGACTGTATATGGAACCGTACTTCAGCCAAAGGATCTATTTCTGAGTTGAGGACCAAACTCAGATAAACTTAGTATCATGCCCCAAGAAGCAGCATTCTGGATAAATACGTGCTAAGTGCTTTAGCTCTTTTTATTGCAACTTTTACATTATTAAACATTGTAATGTGTTCTTCTGAAGCCTCTTCGTGGTGCCATTTAGATTGTTTTATTGGGGGCAGGGAAATAATAAAGAGGTTTTATATGTTGCATTTATGGATCTCCGGGCTTAATGGTTGGTTATGAGATAGTGATAAGTCTGCTGAAGAGTGCGTTTTTGATTCACAAGTGAAATATGGTTGTGTGACTAGATATTATCTCTATATTCACACTTGCTCAAAGGTATCTGAATGTTTAGAGAATTTTCTAGTTATCACTAGTCTATTTCTTTAATTTGAGTCTTAGATATACATTTCTAAGAAAATTACAATTTTTAATACATAATACATAATAATTCAGAATTCAGGTCCTCTTAAACCTTTTTTCAAAGACTGCTTTATCCAAAAAAAGATAAACATTATTTCTGTAAGTCAGAAAAATTGTCCTGTTTTTGTACGCTCAGAAACAAACTTATAACTACATTGAGGTACCAACAGGAAAAAAGAATTTGCTTAAAGGTGTGTCCTTAGAATAAATCATAAATGTTTTGGCCATAGGAAGTATTGTTTGCCAAAAATCATCCAGTACACTGGTTGTGTCCCAGTGTAGACAAGGCAACACAATCAACTTATCACTCAAAGTTAGGAGAAAATACTGTCCTTGAATTTTAAAGGTCTGAAATACTGTGCTGAACAGAAATGTAAGTTCATAATTACTCAATCTACTCACATGTTCCTCTATTCATTAGCATCATATAAAGGCCAGAGTTCAGAATTTCAGAACTAGCTAATGACTGTGTTATCTTTTGGCAGTAGTAGGATATGTCTCTCTTAAGCAAATTTTTTTGTTTGTTTAGTTTAACAGTGCATATCCTGAAATATTTCACTGAAGTGTATTGCTCAAGAAAAAATAAAATTAAATTAAACATGCTTTAATCTAACCAAACAAGAATTGTGAATTAAGTAATACATTATAAAATAGCATAAATTCTGGAATGCCACACCCTCAAAAGAGTGTGTATCCAATATTAAATCTGTTACCATATTTTAAAATATTTAAAATTACTCCAAGAACTGCACCTAGAGTGAAGGCAACCTCTGAGAAAGTACCTAATGCAGTAAAATGAGTTAGTGTTATAGCGTGAGTTGATAAAATTGTGTTGTATTTCTTCATTGTCAGCACAAATCCTTGTTTATTAAAAATTTAGCTTGAAGGAAACTTTAATTAATTACAGGTTCAGTAAATCCTGACTAGGATTCTGCTGTGGTGTGTTTACAGTGAATGGCCTTCATGTGCCTGTGTTTCACTTCTGTTCTCTCTGCTACCTGACAGCGTGATTTATGGCTGTTGTTTTCTACTGGTCCACTGTTTGCCCTCTAGGAGGGATTGGTCTCTTGAGCCTCCATAATAACAGCAGCACTTTCACAAAACATCTTTTAATGACAGGAGCGTAGCATTCTGTAAGTCAGGCTAATTGCAGACATACCCTATTAATTGCAAAAATTAGGAGAGGTTACATATTTTACAAGCTTTTAATTTTAAATCGCCCGAGATGATTTGTCGTAAGTGTTTGGGTAGAGATGTCTACAATATTCTAGGATAGGCCCTTGCTGACACTCGAGAAATGTTGCAGACTGTGGATAATATACCTCGTAGAATTAAGCTTTGGGTGTCCACACCTGCCTAGAAATCATACTCTCCCTGTAATGCAAATTGTTTTGAAGATTGCATATTCTCTTGAGAATCGTGATCTCAACATTAAATAATGTGTTGTGGTTTTATCAGGAGATGATAATCAGAAAGTAGAAATTCTTGAAAAGTTAAAGTCATAAGAGCTTTAAATCTTGGAGTATGTGTAAGCAACTAATTTTACAATAAAAGATCATGGACTTTTTAACTTATCTCACTTTTTGAGATGGATTTTTCTCTTTTTTTTTTTTGTTGGGTTTGTTTGGGGTTTTTTGTTGGGTTTTTTTATTTATTTTATTTTCTTAAAGGCATTTCAAGTAATAAGAATTTTGTCTTTCCTGTAGCAAATTCAGTAGAGGTTCTACTTTCTTTTTTTCTTTTATATTGGATCTGTTTCTTTCATCTAGAATTGCTTCTCAACCCATCATCTTCTGTTTAAGTCTTCTAGATTTGTATGTGGAGGACAAATACAATAGAGATGAGTTTTGAATGCTGTGAAAAGTGGCACAGACTCTCTGCCCTACATAATTTGCAACTATAAAGGCTAGTAAAAACTTGGGGAAAGGTTATAGCTTGAAAGAGAAGCACAAAATTTGAAGGTTGATAACAAATATATTAATCCTATTAATGAGAAAGGTTAGACAGAATTTAGAATTAACCAAATAGATTTTTTTGTGTGTGATTGTTTTTCAGTTTTTCACTTGTTCAATTTTCTTCCAATGTGCTAGATCTTGCTTGCAGCACACAAAGCTGGGTTTGTGACATGCATATTGGAGAACTTGAAGAAATCGGTTGCATTAATCAAATCCAGTGTTTGCTTTTTTAGGCATTGTCTTTAAAAAATTAAAAATAAAAACCACTGTTTCCTTTTGACCAGACTTCAGGTCAAATTCTGATCTGTTATAAAACAGTATTCAAGTGCTTGAAAATTCTTTTACAGATGAGCTTAGAACCATATAATCGAAATCTTACCTATGCTTTTTTTTTTTTTTTTTGCAATGTAAATTATATATCTGCTTTTACAAAACTTTTTATACATACCTTGGATAGCAGACTTGTATGTGTGTAGTTCAGTAGGTCTGAGATTTCTGTCTCATTGTTGCTGACAACATTCACCTCTTGCTTTTAGGTGAAGCTAATTCATGAAATTGCTTCATGCCATGGAATTCTCATTACATCTTATTCATACATTCGACTGATGCAGGACAACATCCACACTTATGATTGGCATTATGTGATTCTGGATGAGGGTCACAAAATCCGAAATCCAAATGCTGCAGTCACGCTTGCATGCAAGCAGGTATTTATAAAAAATAAATTTGTGCTCTGGGAAGAGGTTCCAAGATATAAAAACCTATCATAAAAATATACGTTTGATCATTAATAAAGAATAAAAGCATAAATCACAGTGGTCTGTATTTGACTATTTAATTTACTTAGCATTTTTAATGAATTTACATGAGTAAATTTACAGCAGTATGGTAAAGAAAAAAATCAGAAATTTTAAGTTGCATAGTAATTTACCATTGGGTATAAATGTCAGATTGCTGGTGTCAATTTTCTGCCAATAGTTTGTGGACAGTATATTGCAGAAAGCTGTTTTATTCACAAATATGAGGCCACATATTTTAACATGAGAATTCATTGATGGTAAAATTGAATATCCTCTGAAGCAGGAGATGGGTTACATCATGAACCATGAAAATAACTTTCTTTTGGTTTTGTGGTTTTTGTTAATAGTTCCGCACACCCCATCGAATCATCTTGTCTGGCTCCCCTATGCAAAATAACCTAAAGGAGCTCTGGTCCCTCTTTGACTTTATATTCCCAGGAAAACTGGGAACACTACCTGTGTTCATGGAGCAGTTTTCTGTCCCGATAACCATGGGAGGATATTGCAATGCCTCTCCTGTCCAGGTAAATGCATCAAAAATAGCACTTTGCTTGAAGGAAACTGTTATGTTGTTTCTAAACTGACCTCTAAATGTACTTCATGCTGTATGTTCTAGACACTACACTAACCCAAAAAAGAACTGCATGTGTGTTTTATTGCTGCATGTACAAAAAGAACTGTTCAACTAAATGAGACCATTTCATTTATATGGGGGGTGCAACTTATACAAAGAGTTTTCTTGTCAAAAGCCCTGAAGTTTGTGTCATTAGAAGTATTCTTTGATGTGAAGTAAAGATAAACAAAATGGGGTGGAAAGTAACTGTCTTATATTTTGATGTACTTAAATAGAACTTTCCTGTTTGATATCAAGCTTTGTCAAATTATGCAATAAGAGGAATCCTTAAATCCAAACTGAAAACTGTTTTTATTTTAAAAGGTAAAGTAGGTGTTGGAAGTCTGAAAGTAGAGAAACAAATTTTGAAAGCAAAAATTATTTGGAAAATGATTTTTAGTAAGTATGTCTATTAATCTTTGTAGTTGTGGTTCTCAGTATTGACTGAGAACATTTTTCAAATTAGATGATAAATTAATTGTCTGCATCATAATCTGCAGACTAATTTTTGTATAAATGCTAAGGAAGTTGTATCCTTTTAAATCCTCTTTGTAATGCACACATGCATTTCTAAAGTTTTATTTTATTTTTGAGTGTAAGTACTTCCCTTGTCTAAATCTTAGTAATTTACTAAATTGGACTTTCAGTTTGGTTTTTTACATATCAATAATTTATTATATTATTTGTTTTGCTTAAGAGAAATTAAGTTGGTTTTAGCTATTATGTACAGTTATTACCCATCTCACACATCCATTACCCGTTGTAGAACCATATGCTCCATTTAAAACCAGAGTGACCTTTAGTTTCTGTGATCATGGGGATTTTCTTGTACCGATTTTTCTTTCTTAATAGTCTCAAGTGAGCACTAATCTTCACTTATTGTCTAGTAACCACCATTGCTGCAGGCTTCTTTTTTGATCTTCAGTATGTGTATTAGCACTTTTTCATGAGGATTTTAGTTTTGTGTAAATTTAGACTCACTTCTGTCTTTGGTTTCTAATGAAATATTTCTGGTCTCTTTTTAAAGACAAATCTGTGCTATCTCGGGAAGACTTATTCAATTTTATTGTCCCTAACATGAATTTTATTGCAATTCTTATTGTGTTGAATATGTAACTTTAAATCCATGTAAAATATAAAACATCTAATTTTATTAGAATTTTCCTATCACTAGTGATGGAATTTTGCTTGTTGCTAAAATTAATATCAAGAATCAAAATATAACTTTTGCTTTTTTCTTCCTATTTTCAGGTAAAAACTGCATACAAATGTGCCTGTGTGTTACGGGACACCATAAACCCCTACTTGCTGCGAAGAATGAAGGCTGATGTAAAAATGAGCCTTTCACTTCCAGATAAAAATGAACAGGTTTGTTTATCTTCACTACTAGATCTGAGTCCTTTCCCTCCCCAAAACTCAATCTTTCTTGGTCATTTGGAAATAATTTTTGCTAATAGCTGTTGAAATGCTGTTTTAACTAAAGAGAAGATGTAGAGCTTTCAAGATTCATATTCTCTTCACCAGTGTTCTGAGTATTAAATGGTCACAGTCTTGAAGGGTCTCTGTGAGTGCACTCATCTAAAAAACAAAGGATAGATGAAGTGTAGTCAGGTCTGCTTAATACTGTGCATAGAAATGAGTTGCCTGTCTGTTTCCTTTTTCACAGCAGGAAACACTTTAGCATTATTTCCTGCTGTAAAAATATTAATTTGGGCAGAAAGTAATAGAGAAATACTTGATGGCAGTTGTTCATCTTGCAAGCTAGCTGACCTGTACATTTTAATAAATTTCAAAAATATTATGCCTTTTGATGTAAAACTAGTTTGCTTTACCATGAGGTGGAATGTTTTTTTAGGAAACATTTTTACTCAAAGTAGAGGAGGTTGAAAGTATTAGTTAACTAAAATTCCTTCAAATACTCACTTGTGGTAATTGTTAGACTCTTCTGCCACTCAGGTTTCAGTGCTTCAGGCTTTCATGTTTTCTTCTCATTCTCTTCCTGTCTTCTCCCTCTAAAAGAGAAGTAGACATGCTAGCCTTTGTAAGACAGTGCTGAAGGGTACATAATAAACGAGTAAGCCATACTCAGTTTCTGCTGTTCAGTCTAATGATCTTTTTTAATCAATTTTAATTTCTACGTACTTTAAAGTGTACTGGGCTACTTAGTCTAAAGAATGCAATCATAAACAGATGAAACAAATTTGATTTTTGTTCTGGTCAGTCAGAAGGCACTACCTCAGTTTGACGTACAGCATAATGTTGGGTGCCTTGCAGGATGCAAGGAAGTGTTTTGTTCCATTTTAGCCCATCAAAGCATCTGAAAAATCATTATATGCTCACACTCAGAGTCTAATGACAGATCACATGTGCTAACCTTCCCATGAGGTAGTAAGAATTTGCAAGTTGCAAGGGACGTAACAGACCCACAGTGGAAAGCACTTCCTATAAACATAGCTTTGAGAGAACACTAACGCTGCACAGTTACCCCATTAAAACTGGAAAATGGCAGTACTTTCAAAACTAAAGCAATTTGAGGGGAAAACATAAATGGGAAAGAGCACATAAAACCTCATGAAACTCATCTTACTGATTATGTTCATTCTCTAAAAATTATATTCTTTTTTTTATTTCTGATTATTTCTATGCAGTATCTTTTAACTTAGTATTTCAGTATGTCAGACATCTGTAAAGCTTCCCTGTAGCACATTGAGAAGTTTTAAAATTCACACAGGTTGGGCTTGAGCGGTTGTTTTGTTTTGTAGGTCCTCTTTTGCCGTTTGACAGAGGAGCAACGTCAAATCTATCAGGATTACATCAACTCTAAAGAAGTTTACCAGATTCTCAATGGAGACATGCAGGTGGGCATTAATAAGGGTAATGACAGGTAGAGTTTGGTGGATGAAGTCAGGGACTGGCCTTTACATTCTTCTACCTGGCTTCTGAGGAGAAAGGGAACCGCACACTGATCTCAGTTCTGCTTTTGTAAATGTCTGCTTTTTTGTTCTCAAAAAATGTTACATGAAATATGTAGAGTTAGTGATCCATATGTAGTGACATGACCAGATAAAAGTAGGATTGGAATGGGGATCTTGGAAACAAATCATGGCTATTGGATGACCTGTTTTAGGTAACAGCATACATGCTTTTAATTAGTTGCGGAAGTGAAGCAAAGGAAAAGCATAATTTGTTGTGAGAGTACAGTTCAGGTGTGATAACTTTGTGATGCAACAGTTGATGATTGCAGAATCTTAACATATAGCAGAGCAAATAGCAAGCATCCTTGTTATTGTCTTATTAGTCACTTCTCAACATCTGCCTCTGTCCTCACAGTGTAAGTGTTGAAATTGATGTGACCAAGGTGACAGGAGTAATTGAAATACAGTTTCAAATGCTAGCTGTTGCCTGTGTAAAATGTCTGTTCTTCCCTTTGATTCCTACATTGCACACATCTGATCCCTTTGGCATTTTTATGCATGCAGTGGATGTTTCTCCCTTCCATTTTAGCTGCAGGATACAGATCTGTTGTTTATAAGAGGAGAGATAGAATGCCTTGGCATTCTACACTATCTATGTGTAGTTTACCACATTTTCTTATCTTGTGAACTGTGAAATCCTTTCTCCCCTCATACACAGTGATTCCAGTTGGTTGTTTGGTCAGTACAGCCATATGTATTGCAGTTCCATACAAAGCACATGTTGTCCTTATTCCTGTTTTGAATGTTTTTATATTTTTCCAGGTCTTGCAAAAGGTATAGTGGCCAACTTTTTTCAAGTACATTTTAGTTATTCCAGTGAAAATTATTTTAAGGAGCTTGATCTTCGAGGTGGCTTGTACAAGACGATCTGCACAAATTCCCCAAAGATGTTACAGAATGGACTATCATATTTGCTAGAGTTTTGAAAATTTTGGATAGTAAATCCCAGTGCTTTTATTAGATGTTTTGTGTGACAGCAGCAAATCCCAGTTGAAAAACAAAAACCCCATTGTCCAAACAAACCATAAATTATGAACAGGCTCATCCAACTTGTAGTGCTAGAAGACTGAGGGATTTGCTGTTTCAAGCTAGCTCTTTTTAATGAGTGCTCATTATATCAGAAGAATAAATAACACTTCTAATAAATAACTGAACAGAACCCTTCTAAATGGCATCAAAAGTGGTAATTTCAGCTTTTTATTATTTTTACTCATATGTTCTTTGTTTCCCTGCACTCTAGTGGGTATACTTACTATACTCAAGGTCTGTCTTAAGTTACCTGCTAATATGGCAGGAGCTGGAAGGAAGGACACAATAATTTCAAGAAATAAACTTGGTGAAAGTTTTCCTTTTGAGTAGGAAAAATTTGACTGTGAGTTACAGCTAAAGACTGCTTTTGCTGATGTGGAAATTGTTGCAGAATTCTCCTGTCACCAGAATAGACTCACAAGAAAATAAAGTTTCATTGACCTTCTCTTATACTGAAATTTCCTAAAACTTTCCATGAAACAAGTATTATCATCCATTGACTTCCCAAAAGAGCATTATTAAAAACAAACTTCTTTATGATGACTGGATTGATCCATTGCTGTTTATTTTTCTCAACCACAACCTTTATAGATACAAGTATTTGTCATAAAAATAAAAATACTTTTATCATGTGTTCTTTAGATTCTCTTAGGACTATCAACTTTGAGAAAGATTTGCAACCACCCTGACTTTGTCGCTGATAGTCCCAGCTTTTCAAAGGGTGTACCAGATGCTGAAGTGGAGGAATCGAATCAGTTTGGATATTGGAAACGTTCTGGAAAAATGATAGTGGTAGAATCCTTGCTTAAAATATGGCACAAGCAAGGTCACAGAGTGTTATTTTTTACTCAGTCAAGACAGGTAAGATGAGCTACTTGGTTTTAGTTTTAGTTATCACTAAAACTAAAAACAGTGTGTGTGTGTTCCAACAACACTTGTAATTAGAACCACCTTTTGTAATGTCCTTCTCAGAAAATTACGATCTTACTGAAAAAAAATTATGAAAATGACTAATATCTGGAATAATTGGAGACCAGTTCCCAAGCTCAGTAAGCTTTACTGGAATGACAGAGTGTTGTGGCAGTGCTGCCCAATTTCAATATATGGGGTCAAAGCTCGTATCAGTTGTACCCATATCATAGCAAGCTGTCCCTGCTGTGTAGCTTCAGGATAGAATTGATACTCAATTTGTGTAATGCATGTGCACATCTAATCCTCAGAACTGTGTGCATTGGGCCGGTAACACAGTGACCTTCATTTGTTTTCCCTGTGTCTTGCTTCTATGGATTCCCTTGGAATGCTGCACCATTTATCTCTTTAAGTGTCTTGTGACTATGGCCCTGGACTTTCCAAACCAAACACAAACATTCCACTTATGCATTCAGCAGTGAAATAAGTAATTTTTTTCCCCAATTACATAAGTAAATTTTCTGTTCATTTAAGGTTCACGAGTTTTTGTTTGTCATCTTGGTCGTTTGATTAACACTGCAGTTCATACCACAAATTCATATGGATTGATCAAGTAGTTGCTGTCTGCACATCTGGATTTCATTGAATTTTTTCCATCACAACAGATGATGCAGATACTTGAAGTCTTTGTGAGACAGAGAAACTATTCCTACCTCAGGATGGATGGCACCACAGCAGTAGCTTCCAGACAACCTCTTGTAACAAAATATAATGAGGTGAGGTGTTGCCCATACCTGAATGACTATTAGTGAGTATGGCTAAATTCTTGCATTCCTCTTTGGTGTGTTTTTAAATATACTTCGTCAGGTTTGAGGCACAAAACTGGGGACTTATGTCAAATGAAACAACTTACTTAGTGAGAGAGCAGAAAGAAGTCATCACTTCTTTCACACTTAAATTGTGTTTTCTGCTAAGAAAAAAAACACAGTTGAGAAGGGGGAAAAGAAATTTTATTGGACAACAGTAAATGAAATTTAGATTAGACTACTTTTATTTGTCAAAATAGATACTAGATGAACAAGGAAATGTATTCCTTCCCTTGGCCCCCTTTGCATCTTTGTAAATAATGCTGATAATAAAAGATTTCAGGAATTAATTTATTTTTTTTAATGTTACACTTTGATAATTCTTGCTTTAGTAAATTCTCTCTTGTGTTATAGGACAAATCCATATTTCTTTTTCTCTTAACAACTCGTGTTGGTGGCATTGGTGTTAACTTGGTTGGTGCTGACCGGGTTATTATTTATGATCCTGACTGGAATCCCAGTGTAGACACACAGGTGAGTTTGTTTTATTACATTTCGTTTACCAACTAAGCTGAAACAAAACTGAAGATGAAATTACATTTATCTCCTCAAATAATGTTAAAGCACTGTGTAGCTCTTTCCAAGGTTGCTGTTCCCAGCAGTGGTTGCTTAGGGTGCAGTTCCACGTTATGATATACTCTTGTGGCAAAACCAATTTAAGTGGTTCCCACCACATCCCCTTTATGTTGTTACATCTTACCACTCTTCAATATTGTCAACTCTTATAGTCTGTTTACAGTGCAGTCAAACAAACAGTTCAAGTGGCCTGTGTTTTTAAGATGAATAAACCAGATGTTTTTGAAGGGAGAGTACAGCTGTGCAAGCTGTTGAACCGATATGACTGTTCGTGGTGACAATGCAGGGTAAGAAAAGGAGAACAAGTGTTGCTCAGATTGGCTTTGTCACTAGATAACGATATGTAGCTATGTCCTTTGAATGCTGCTCTAAGCCAATATTGTTAAAAGTCATGCTTTATCTCAGGGTGTGGTGGACTCTGGTTCATCAGATCCCATAGTAGTATGTGGTGTTTATGTGTTTGAGAGGAAAAAACTTTTTGATAGAATCCTACATAGCTCTGAGATCTACATGTGTCTGACTTAGAGTGGTATGTATTAGTGGTTGGTTCAAGATGTTCGTAGGAAAGCTTTCAGTTAAGAAAAAGAATAAAAATTCAAAAGAAAGGTGTATATTAAAGCTCTGTTGTAAAATAGATCCCTACTGGAATGAGTCTATATAAACTACTTATTCTAGATACAAGTTCCAATTTTAATATAATTTTATTGATAATTTTTATAACTTGATACAGTTGGAGACTTGTCTTTCTACATATGTAAACTTTCTAAATCTTGTTCTTCTCCTGCTGAGTTAGTTGTCATAATGCTATAGAAATACCACTTCTTGAACTATGTTAAGTGTCCAAACTAAGTTTGAAACAGTGTTATCATTAGCTCTCTGTCAGACATATGTTTAAGAGGCTAATGTCTGATAACCAAACCTTTTGTGTTCCAGGCTCGGGAACGTGCTTGGAGAATAGGCCAAAAGAAAGAGGTGACTGTGTATAGGCTTCTCACTGCAGGTACTATTGAAGAGAAGATATACCACAGGTCAGTCAGAATGTTTTCTTGGATACAGCTGCATGCTCAGGAAAATGCTTGTAGCCACTCAAGGTGGTGCAACACTGACATACCCAGTGTGCGTGTGCTCACATGGTTTGTAACCCCCAACCTTGGTCATGATGGGCACATTGCAGAAAACTTTTTAAAATTTCTCCTGAGAAATGAACCTTCTTCTAGTACTGGACTCCCAGCTTCAGGGCTGTGCTGCTCCCTGTCAGCTCCAAGACCCACCTGCTAAATGTACCTTATCAGTCTGTTCCAACATCTGTGTCCAGCACACACTGGAAAAGAGAGTATGAGGCATAAACAGAAAATAATCAGCACCTTACTCAGAACCGGAGACTCAACAAGTTTGAAATGCAAATTGAAATCAACGAGTTCTTTATATTCTCCTTGGGATATATCAAGATGTATATGGTACATACATCCATTTACTACTGTGCAAACCCAATTTGATTTTATTCCCAAATCATTCCAAAGTGAAAGAATTAAATCCAAATAACCACCAGTCATATTCGTGTTATTTATTCCAAAATGTAGCTAACGCCTTTAAAGTTACTTGCATTTTGAAATCAATGAAATCTTTTTATTTTGCTTTCCAATTCATCTTTCTCAGTAGTTAGCTTCACTCACATGAATTCCAAATGAATGTACATGGGAATCCTCTGTCTAGGCATTACTCTTCAGAACTGAAGTATCCTTTTGGAAAACTCAGATGAATGAAAAGCTCTAGATGATGAAATGCCAGCACTTATTGAATGCCTTTTTTAATCTGTTTTGCCACATGAACACAAAGCATCTGCTGTTGGTTGGCTTCCATCCCTCTGACATACTTGTGTTTAAACAACACTGACCACATCAAGGAATTGGACTCTAAGGGTCAGCACTGCCATCAGAAATTCATTTCTTTCCAGAACCGTGCAATGGACTGTGAACTTAAAGCAATTGTCTTTTCTCTTTTCCTGTGTGTTCTTCCCTGTAAATATGTGATCATCATTGCAGGAAACTACGAAGCTCAGATAATCTTTAAAAACTTTATGAAGTCTTTTAGTGGATACTTGCAGTAGCTGACACTTATGTTTAAACTTAGTTTTCAACAACTGGATTTAAAAATAGTTTCACTGTGTAATGTAGACAGAACCAAAACCATGATAAAAACAGTTCTAGAGAACTGATTTCCAGTTTTATTTAGGGATGTATTTTTTTGTAGAGAAAAAATAGCTTTTACTCTAGGCACTATGTAGTACAAATAGAGCATAGTAGTTTTACCAATACTAGAAGATTTTTTGGCATCTCAGTTCTCCCCCAGATTTATTCCTGTTAGTCCTCTGCAGGTGGGCTCTCTTTTTCCATTCCTCTCAACCACAAGTCTGATTTCCCTTTTCAGTGGCTGTCATCCAGTCATCACAATCAGACTGAGCTATTCTGTTGCTTTTGATCCCTCCAATCAATTGAACATGTAAAATGTTGTCATTTTAACAAGCTCTTGTTTCTCTTTCAGGAGTTTTCTGATAGTTTTATTGTAACATGCAAGCTTTTCAATTTTAATGGACAAAAAAAAATACTAGCTGTGAAATTATTTATTGCTTAGTTAAGGGATGCCTCGTAGGACATCTCAGGATGGTGGTTACCTGTTGTGTTATGGGGCTGTTGCAAAATAATAAATCTCTGCATTTAACAACTTCCTTGGTTGTTTTGAAAGTTACTAACTCAAGATTGTTTTGGAAACTAACATAATCTTCCCACTGCTTAATTGTTCTGCAGGGTAATATTTGTGCTTATATAGTTTTCTGTTTAAGTACTGTATTCAGTACTTAAACATAGCTAGACATTGTTTCATGCACAAAGTACTTTTTTTTTTTCTTGTTTTAGACAAATCTTCAAACAGTTTTTAACAAACAGAGTGCTGAAAGACCCTAAGCAGAATCGCTTCTTCAAATCCAATGACCTTTATGAACTTTTTACTCTGAACAGCCCCGATGTGTCTCAGGGGACAGAAACAAGTGCAATTTTTGCAGGTACATGGTTTTTTCTATTTGTTTAGAAGAAAAAATGTTTTAAGTGGTTGTTAAATGGATACTTATTTCATTCATCCCTCAGGTACTGGTTCAGATGTTCAAGTCCCAAAGCCATCTCATAATGGTGCTTCTAAACGTGATCTCCGTCTTGCAGAAAGCAGCTCACACAAGAAGAGCAAGTCCTCCAATTCCTGCTCAACCACACACATGAAAGATTCTTCTTCAAAAGCAATAGAGACAAGTGAGGAAACCAAAGGAAATTTGGAATCCTTTGACCAAAACAGCTCTGCAAAAGATAATGCACAAGCTACTACTGATACAAATTCACTGAATAAATGCAAGGAGGAACACTTGGAAAGTGGCAACAAATCTGTGTCCCAGTCGTTGCCATGCGATGCAGGGTCTTCAGAGGATGCCAAATGTCTGACTGCTGTGGTGGCTGATGAAGTACATGGAGCAGCTAATGCAAATGCCAAGGCAGATTTTAGCCTTACTTGTGATCCAGCTGGCTCCTGGGAAAAGCAGGATGCTAAAACTGAAGATGGGCAGTTAGATAATAATCATTATAAATGTATCTCAAAAACAAAACACAGGGTGGCTGTGCTGTCACATGAGAGCCACAAAGATGAGTTTAAGAAGAAACATCACAAAGATGCCAAATTTGAAGGAAAACGCATTCCTCATTTAGTGAAACAAAAACAGTACAGAAAGGAGAACAGTGAAGAGAAGGAGGAAGACTCAAAGAAAAATGATGATTATGTCTTGCAGAAACTTTTCAAAAAATCAGGTAACAGTTCTTGTTTTTAAACAGAGGTTTAACCTATGCAAGTGAGGGAAAGAGCAGTTCTGTTACTCTGATAGTTAGAGCTACAATAGAAAACTTGTTTATTATGTTACTGTGGTGAAACCTTAAGATGTTCATAATTTAAATGCCACATTTATGAATGTGCTAATTACCTTGGCACTAGCAGTTCAGATAGACCTGCACTTCTGGATATATAGCAGTAATGCAGTGTTTCTCCTGGAAATAAGGATGTAATCAACCTTCATTTACACAAGGGTTTCACTTCTGTCTGTCCTGTCCATAACAACGGAAATGATCAATTTACCCACATAATTGCCAGATCTATTGTGAATAATGACCTCATCAGCACACCAGAAGTGATTTGCTGTCAAATTGATTACTTAACTCATATAGAAAGGGTTCTCGTTAGGAATTACTGTACTGATGTGCTTAATATAATCAACATGAGAAAGGAAAAATGTTACTGTGGCATTCACTTAAAAAGTGAGTATTTGATTTTCATGTAAATTAGCAGATGTCCTCCTTCACCTTTTGAATCTTGTGGTTTTTAGGGGTACACAGTGTTCTGAAGCATGATGCCATTATGGAAGCTTCCAGTGTAGATCATGTGCTGGAGGAAGCAGAAGCAAGCAGAGTGGCCCAGAATGCCTTGAGAGCCTTAAAAATCTCTCGTCAGCAATGTTTAGGAGCTGCTTCTGGTGTGCCAACCTGGACAGGCATGAGTGGTCTTTCTGGTGCACCATCAGGAATAAAGTAAGTTCTGTCCTCATGCTGCTTTTCCAAAACAGAAGAGTGAGTTAGGATGTTATGGATTTATCTTTATTTGCACTTGTTATTTGCAGTAACATGTATCAAAGTGGTGCTCATGTTTCATATTTAATATAGAGATGAAGGCACATTACAAGCCAAGGTAGTCTATTCTGAAGTACAAAGAAAGCATTATTGTTGCACAGTAGAACAGAAAACTTAGCAGAGGGCTCTTGAGAACCCTAAAACACAAACCCAGTCTGTCTTTTAAAAAATTTTACTAGTCATTTTGAGAAGGATGTTTGATGGATGTTTGTGGGTTTTTAGGAGACGGTTTGGTCAAAAAAGAAACTCCATGCTGCTATCTCCACACGCCACTTGTGCATCACCTGCAAAGAAGCAGAAGGTAAGAGACATTTCTGTCTTAATAGCTGATATATGTGAAATGTTATGATTTATGCAAGAAATCTGTTTCATACTGTAGATGTCTCATACACATTTGTTGTATGATTATGTAGAATTCTAGAATTTTTAGTCACCTGTGAATTTTTGGTTTTTCATGTTTTAATGAAGTCTGATTGGATACAGCAGTCACAAATTGCACTGTGGTGTAGTTATCTGTCTGAAGACCAGCAATGCTTTTCTTTCACTTCCTAAGTTCTAAAGTTGAGACCAGAATATATTACCTCTTTATTGTGTATTTCAGATGACTAAGTTTTGAGTGGTCATGTTTATGGATTAAGTCTAAACAACAGGCAGATTTTTGTTTAACAGATTCTGTGGGTCTCAAAATACAACTTCCTCCATAGTCTGTATGTTTATTTGCAGGATGCAGATCCAATAAAGAAACAAAATATAAAGAAGTGTAGTTCCAGTGAGCACTTCGATGGAAAATCTGGAGAATCGTCCAGTGCTCTAGACTCTTCATCTTTATTAGCTCATATGAGGGCAAGAAACCACTTTATTTTACCGCAACAGACAAGGAATGAGGGAGATGAGAATCATCAGCCAGCACCCAACCCAGTCGAGGGTTCAACAGAATACGATGAACTGCTTGTGGATTTACGTAACTTCATAGCATTCCAGGCGCGCGGGGACGGCGAGGCCAGCACTCGGGAAGTACTGCAGGAATTCGAGTCCAAACTGCCTGCGGCGCACTCCTGTGTCTTCAGAGAACTCCTCCGCAACATCTGCACCTTCCACAGGACCCCGAACGGTGAAGGGGTCTGGAGGCTAAAGCCAGAATTCCGATGACCTTTGACAAGCCAAGGCATCTCTCTGTCCGCTTGGCCACCATTCTCCTCTCAAAGACTTACTGTTTGACTTTTAAAATTTGCAAGTATTTTGTATTCATAAATAATTACTATGAACAGTCAGTAGAACAGGACTTGTTGCAGGCTTAGAACTACCTTAATTTCTGATTTACACTATTTATATGAAAGTACCATCTACCTCATAGATGAAACAATACAAAATAGCACCTTTTCTTTAAAAGAAATCTTAATATAAATAGGATTAAGAACATATACTGACTTTTTATTACAATAAGAACCATGGATGTTGCCATGAGTTGTGAGACTTTGATTTCTGTGAAATTCCGGAAAACAACTTCCTTGATTTCCTGTTTGTTACTTGAATGGTCACGGGGCACACAGTGTACCATTAAAAAACAGGGGGGGAGATGATAGCAGTTAATGTGAGAGATTCACTTGTACTGCCAAGTGCATCAGAATCACTGTATGAAACTTTCATCAGTAGTGAGAATTTTGGTTTAATGTTGGTGCTTCAATTGTTGCCAGTATCTAGCATGTACAGTATAACTTATATCACTAACTAACTTGAAAAATTAATTCTACTGCCATGAAGGTTTAATCATAAAAAATGGGAAGCCTGGCAGAATATTGAGTTAACTGCCAATTGATAATTAAGGAAAACTTACTAAATCCAGAACACCCACTTGCACCATAATCAGCAGTTCAGTTACAGTCTCAAACACCACTGGCAGGTGTTTGGTGCAGTATTTCTTACCACCGAGGTGATAGCAACTGTTATGTTTGTCACAGGTGTGGACTGATAATTAAAATATCATTAAATGTTCATGTGTTTCACTGTGATTTATATCCAAAATGTTCCAGTTCCCTCCTAGCACTTAAGATTTTATACCTTGACATAGACTGGGGTGTCAGTTGGTCAGAGGGGTGATGAATGTTACTGGATTTTACTAAACATAATCACTTTTGGATGAAGACATTGTTGGAACATATGCAGAAGTTACAGGTTGTACCTCTTCTGTAGGTAGGGAAAATATCAAACTTCTTGACAGTTGGATAAGTTCCAATACCCATTTTTTTTCTAAGGAAGGAAGAACTGGATCATTTGTAGCAAATCCGAGTATGACATTTGGTCTGCCTTCAAGGTACTTGTGTGCTACACAAGAAAATCTTAAGGGGAAAATACAGATAGATTTTGTGAAGAAAACCACGTTGTTGGAGCAACATTAAATTACTGTATGGCTCAAACTAGGAACAGTTAAATATGCCTAATGTCCTTCCTATTCCTAAGCTATTAAGAGAAGGGAAAGCTAAGCTACTTTTAGTTTTTGCTTACTGTGAAATTATCTTGTTTACTTTGAGTGAAAGTACAAATATGGAAAGATGAATAGTGAAGCAAGAATACAATTACTTTCTCATAAAAAAAGCCTTTAGGAGACTTCCAGTGGCTTTTCCTCTTGTTTTTGCTCAGTGATAAAGGATCTGTAGAAATGTGCAAGAAGTGGTTCTTCACTGTTTCAATAACTGATCAACTGGCTTTTCAGAGACTAGAGTTGGACTGGGCAGACAATTCAAGAATCTGTTTTCCTCATGGTATTTGAAGGTGGGACTACTACATCTTTTCCTAACATCTCTTTTTCTGATACTGTTTATATTCACCTACATTCCCTTTCAAGAGAAAGATGAAAGTAATAATTTAGGGCGTAGATCTGTTGATATGACTTTAAAAGGATCAGAAAAAGAGTAAAATTGAAATTATTTTGCTCTTCTCTTCAAAGCTGTAGGGAATTTGAATTGTTTTGGTTGTCATGTCCCCATGCATCTCTACTTGCCTGAAGAACAAACCAGAAATTCAGCAGTCAGCAAAGCTGCTGTTGTCACCTTATCTGTTAGTTTTGGTGTCCTGTTTTATTTACTACTCCCAATCTTAAAGATATAGTTCCTTTTCTAAGGAGAGTTTGCAGCTTCTCGATGATCCGTTAATGTAAATAGACTTGCATGTACTTTTTATAAATCCTTGGCTTTTATGGACTTATTAAAAAAGGAAAAACAAAAGTGTTGTACAAGTGTTTGGGCACAGGGTAAGAGTGGGAGTGGGAGACCATCTTTTCCTGTATAGTGTGGCACTGGCCAAATGATCTATATTATCTTTAATTATATTTCCATTTTTCATACAATTTCAAATAATGCTTCCTAGCAACTAGGTTTTTTCCAGTGCTAGCATTTGTTTAAAATGTTTAATTGACTAAATTAGTATAATACTCAAAAAATATTTTTAAGTAGTTAAAAGCATGTGTGATTAAACATCTACAGGCTGATTTATAGGTAAAAGTTTTTCTGGAACATAATATAGCTGCCATGCATTTTGAAGTAGAAGAGGGGTTTTTTTCTACTTTTATTCCATAAAGCATTATTTGATTTTTGTTTAGCTTTACCTGTGTAAAGTGAATTCCTTTCACATCTTCACAGAACATCTAAAGCAATTCCTGACTAATGATATTGCATAGTCAAACAAACCTTGTATTTTAAATGTCTCAGTTTCCAAATACTCAATACTATAGTTGATAGTTGCTACTTTATTTGTGCATGATTCCAAAAATCATCCATGTGGAATGCTTGTGTTTTTATATTTTGCTTTCTTATCTCAGTAAAAAGGGGTTAAAGAACAATCAAAGGTTAATTTAGGAATCAAGTTGGACAAAAACATTAAATCTTAGTAAGGGAAGATGTTTCAGCATGGAACAGTGAGTATAATCTTAAATTTAAAAAAAAAAAATACCACAAGGAACTACTGAAAATTTCTTTCCTGTAAAGATGCTAAAAGCTGAGCACCATACTACTCCAAAAATGTCTTGCAAGTGTAGATGATGTGACCTACCATCCACACAAATGCAGTTGAACAAAATTCTAGAAAGCTAAATAGCAAAAACTTTGTTCAGTAAACAGTTATGGGAACTGTGTGCACTGTTTGGATAAAACATACTGCACTGATATTTTAACAGCAGAAGTTAAAACTTATTATAATTGTTCCTTCTGGTTTCAAACCATATTTAGAAAGGGAGAGGTGAAAAAAACCCACTTGTTTGTTAAGATTTTTTTATCTCTCTGTGCTACCCTCCTTTCACATTATTCCAGATGCTTATTCTCCTCTGTTCATCCTTTTGCTGACAATATATAGCCAACACACACATCTCTGGTATAAAAACTGAATTCTGACCTAGAGAAAAGAGACTCTCCTAAAGGCTGTAACCCTTTGACTCTTCTGGACTATAATGACTCACTACAAAAGAAATATAAGATGATGAATGGATAGATAGGTAGAAATGGTGATTAAAAATTGAGAGGAGTATTTTTAAATTCCCAACTTCAGTCTGTGGCTCAGCCTCTTCTGAAAGGGCTGCACCATGTGGAGAATTGAGTCTACTGCAGATAACAAACGTTATCCTCCCAAATAGAGGATAGAGAAGTGGGCTTTTAAATCTGCAAGTTTGGGCTATAAATCTATAAATCTGCAAGTTACCTATAGACAGTTGTATTCAAATCATAAGGTCAACTTTGCTTTTGATTCCAAGATTGTCTAATTTTTACTGTCTTCTAGTAGTGCAGTTCTCTGTCTTTCAAGAAGCTACAATAGAAGGGAGAAGATTTTCAGAATTATTTGATGGGATTTTTGTTATTCATAAAAAGTTTTACATTTGTGAAGACAGAGCAAAATCTGTTAAGTAAATGATATACTGTGTGACTTGGAAAATAAGAGCATTGGTGGGGAGGCAGGGAATTTTCTGATATTTCTCATAGATTTTTAAATGTTACACATTAAGATCTATCAAAAACTACACACATATAATGGTATTATCATACTTTTTCAGTGAGGGAGATATCCAGGCAGGCATCAGATTACTAGAAAGAGCAGTGTGAAAGTTATTTTTATAGGATGTATCCTTCAGGGAAAGCTGTCACAGGAAACAGTAGCTTAAGCAACTAATTTGACAAAACAATCTTAGAGAAAACAGTAACTTGATTAACGTTTGTTCTTTTCTTTTTCTCCAACGTAAGATAATTTTAAAAGAAGGATCTGAGTAGATGGATAATTAAACTGGTGGAGTAGTATCCGACTTGGATTCTTTTTGCATATTGGTGTGACTCCTATGTAAAATCTAATCATTACAGTTTAGGCAATTTTCTCTCTTTGATGGAGGAGGTGTTGAGGAACAGCCATATCCCAGTGATTCAACAAGAAAGGATGGTGCAGTGTGTCTTGTGTGGGTGGTGACTGTGCTTTCTCAAATGATATATAAAGATGGTGAAAAAAATTAAATGTGAAGAGGCCCTGTAACAACAACATCAAAATTTGGCTTACTCTTGATGTATGGGCCGAGAAATTATTTATTTCCTTCCTAATTTTTCCTCATGTTTTAAATAAGGTAACATAGTTGCTGAGATGATTTAAAGTATGGAATAATCTACCTATTTGGTCTTTTAGAAGCAGGGATCTCTAGATTCTCCTGCTATAAACCTCTGTGTGACTTTGGATGCAGCACTATAATGCATGCTGCATTGGTTTCTCCATCTGATGGATACAGTCATCTGGGGGAAGCAATACATCTTTCTTCAAAAATGCTTCAGGAAATTATAGCACAGTATGAAGAAGTCCTGATTGGAAAAACACAGGTAATATGGCATCTTATTGTCTAGATTATTAATTCAGCAACTCTAATTTACAAAACTATCATACAAAACTGCTGAGAGTCCAGTCTTTGAAGGGCTTGCATAGGGCACATGTCTAGGAGTCAGGATATGCTGGCAAGTCTGCACTTGGGAGTTTATCTCCTCTGGGAGAGGTATTTATGTATTAGATACATGGTAAAAACGCTCTCTGCTACTTAGGGCCATTTATAATTTCCCTGTTCAAACATTCAAGCTAAATGCTGAATATACGCTTACTGACTCAGTGGCTCTCCATCTACCCAGCCCTCAAGGGTTCTGGGCTGGCTCTGGGGTGATGTCACCACTCCTACTTCACACATTTTTGCTGATGTGGTACAGTCTCATGCCTTCAGCTGAGACATAGAAGATGAAGCTTTCCTTAGTAATTCTTAACTTTTGTTAACAGGTAGCCCTGTTTCTGCTGCCTCTACTATCTTTAAGAGAAGACTGACATCTTTCACACAAGGGCCATTCCACTTTTCTTTTTTAAATGGACCTAAGACAGCTATTATGAAGTGAGTGAAACACCTTGTGTTCTTACTCCCTGCCTGAAAAACCCAGGGATGACTGCAGTGTATCACTGCTGCATTCAGGGAGCAGAAAACTAATCTTTTTTTTTTTTCTCCTCAGAAAGAATAGCGCTGTTGTGAGTCACTAAACTAGGAACTACAGAACCTGCACAGAAAACATACAAAGTGTCAGGCAGCTGTGTTAAGAAGGAACTTCCAACCTTCTCTACCCACTAGGTCTTATTGTTTGTGCCAACACAAAACTAATGGAGGAAGGGAGGGTATATGCTGAGCTCTTAATTTCTGAATGGCAGGGTTGGACTTGCCTTTAAGTCCAAACTTGCTAAGGTTCTAAAATGTGCAGTGAAAGCTCCTAATTAAATTTTGTTCTGCCCACTGATAATACCGTGCAATAACCATGCTTTTTCAATATTGCCATCCCGCAGTAATTAATGGCATCAAAGAAGATGTGGCAGGCTATATAATAAATCCCACCATTCTTACCCATAAGCTATAACTGAAAGCCAGATGATTGTAAACTCTTCAGGCTACAGACTCTTTATCCAGTCATTTGAGAGAGAAAGAAGGGAAAGCAATGCCAATGCTGAACTCCAGAGAATCCACCCAACATTTTAAGTTGTTAACTGTCTGTCATAGTTCCTGAGAGATACCCAGCTTTTCCTGGGCTCCCAAAGCCACACTGCTCACAACATGTAAGTTGAGAGAACCTATTTTTATTGTACAGAACTGGGAGGTTGAAGCCTCGCACTAATTACAAACCAGTACGTAGTATCATCAGAGGAGCTATGACCAACTCCTGCATAAGGCTTACATAAGTGGTGAGTCATGCAGTCTTAGGAAAGAATAGGGAGAGAGGCTTTCATTATGTTGTTTGCCTAATCAGAAATATGAAAATAAAAGAACACAGCACTCAGTGGGTTACGTTTGGCTAACTGTACACTGGAATTTCTGCAGTTGCACTACGATTGAGGCATTTCATTGTTTGTGGTCCCAGTTTATATTAAACAGAGAGGATTTTTTTCATAAATCTTCGCCTCTAGGGCAGAGTTAAGGCTGTTTGGGAACCCTAGCTATGTGTTTCCAGACATTAATGTCTGGAAGCAGCACCATGAGAGTAAAACTGAAGGTATATACCTAGGGAGGGTACTGGGAGTAAATTAAGAAACCCAAGGGCAGGGTAGGGTTTGTGAGGATAAGCATGTGAAGAAGCAGTGAAACGGAAGCAAAGCTTTTAGGATCACTGAGAGACAGTCTCTCATAGATGATCTCTCATATCTTACTAGTCTCTTCCTGTGCTTTCAGGCAGGTAGCTGAATGGGTATTACTTCATCCATCATTTGTTAGCCATGAATAGAGATGCCTACAGCCCTTAGAAGATAACTAGAGAGTTTTGAGGATCAAGGTTGGATGAAGCTTTATGTGCAGCAACAGTTTTCTTTTTACACTGGTCTGATTAACCTACCACTGCTTCTCATTTTCCTCCATTAGTCTTCTGCACTTCATGTGGCAAACTGGATCAGCAGCCTTGTGTCCTGGTGGAAAAAACAAAAAACAAAACAAACAAAAAAAAGGCAAAAACATACCATTTATAACTATCCATATTTTTTTAAACATGGCTACAAGAGCTGAAAGCCAGAATGAGTGACAGTAGGAGGGAGTCTGGAGAGCCAAGTGGCCAAGGAACTTCAGCATTAGGACAGCACGAGGTGAGTGCTTCCTCTGTCAGAGCCGTTTGAACACTCCACATGAAACTTTGTTTTCAAATGGCTAATTTGGGACTGCGTGGAGCTGTAGTATCTTTGTCTCCACCTTATTCTCTTATGGATCCACATGCTTGCTCTGTGCAAATATTCCTAACATAGTGCACCTGAGCAGAGGAGCCAGTAGACATTTCTACTTGCCCCACAGCCTGCCTCCCACTGCTTTCCTGCCTGGAAAATGTGAGGTGTGTCACAAGCAGATCAGGCACTACTGTATGAACCATCAGGAATGTATAATTGCTCCTCTCTAAATTGCCAGACCGCCTTCAAAAGGACTAGTATGCAGGATGCTTAAAGTTTGAGTGGCTGTGTTTTGGGGATTTGGGGTTTTGTGGGGATTTGTTTTGGGGCTTTTTTCTGGAAGGGGAGTGGAATCCTCTTCATCAATCAGTGCGTGGGGAAAAAAAGCAAATTGTTCAAAGCTGGTTGACTCTGCATTTATTTAAGCCCTAAAATTACTGTCCAGAATCTATATGCCTCCCCCCATCCTTAAATTACTTTGAACCTTGGCTGCTCTTGCTGCACTGCAATAGCAGAACCCCGGACTCTGTCCCTAAACCCTCTCCCTGGGCAGCTGTAGGGCCGGAGTTGGAGACTCAGGTGACTGCAGCAGGTTCTGTACCGCAGCCCGGCCCAGCCCGCCCTGGTAACAGGGCCCGCACCAGCGGGGCTGCCGGAGGCTGGGATGTCCCGAGGCTCGGGGATTCCACAGGCTGGGAGGTGCCGAGGCTCACGCCCATGGCCCACTGTACTTTTCATTGCTGCGGCCACGACAGGAAACAGCACTTGGGCTCAGCAATGCCCAAATCGAAGCCTTTTTCGAGGCGAGAAGGTGGATGTAAAGGACAGTATTTTCACAAGTGCGGTATTCCTCGCACATCCCCCGCCATCCATGCCCCCGGCAGCCAGAGCTACCCGAGCCGGGCCGGCGGCCCCTCGATGTCAACAAGCGATACCCCATCGAGCCTTTAAGAGCCCTTGATGGCCGGGGCGCGGCGCGGCCGCCCATGCCCGGGGCTCCTGGCCCTGAGGGCTGCGCGCCCTGCCCGGCGCTCCGCGCACTCCCCTGGCCGCGCTCAGCCGGGCCGGGCCGGGCCCGCGCAAGGGCCGCTGCCCCCTCAGCGCTGCGCGGGGCACCTGAGGTGGCCTCGCCGAGGCCGCGGTGCCGTCCATGGCCGCCCGCCCGCCCTGCCCGGCGCTGTGCCTGTGCCTAGCCGCGCTGCTGAGCCTGAGGGCGGCCAGCGCCCTGCCCCTGGCCCCCAGCCCGCGGGGCGAGGTGCAAGCTGCGGCTTTGCAGCGGCTGCGGGAGGTGTTCGACATCGAGGAGCTGCCGCCCGACGTGCTGCCCCGCAAGAAGCCGCCGCAGTTCATGGTGGATCTCTTCAACAAGGTGGCCGACGCCAACGGCATCACCCGCGCCCCGGGGCTGCTGCAGGGAGACGTGGTGCGGAGCTTCGAGGACAGAGGTGGGGCGGGGGGTGAATCCCCACGGCAGAGCGGCGGGGACCCCGCACCGCCCGGCCGACGGTACAGGGGCACAGACCCGGTGGGGTACGCGGCTGGTGCTGCCGGGGCTGGCGGTGTTGCTAAAGGAGGGTCTTTTCCAGTTCGCGTGGACCAACATCGCTTCTACTTCGACATCAGCGCGATGGAGAAGGGCGAGCAGATGCTGAAAGCAGAGTTCAGGGTCTTCAAGCTCAAGATGGCACGCGTGTCTAGAAGGTCCGACGTGAAACACTTCTGCAAAGTAAGTGGTAAAATAGGTAAACACTTAATTGTGCTATACCAATGTCAGACCTATCATACCATACTTTTCTGGGATTTTAGATGTTTCCAAATTCGAATAGAACTTTATCTGCTTGAGCTGTTCTGAAAAATAATAATAGCAACCAGGGATTCATAAGAAAACGGGGAGGATAAGGATTCTGATACTGAGTGTATTTTTCTCTGGTAAAGAGCAGGATGGGACTTTTTACAAACCTGAAGACAAAGATGTGGAGAAACAGAAGGCTTTGAAGGTATTAGGTGTTCAAAATAGAATAGGAATGGTCAGGATATTTTCCTGTAGTATCAAACAGTTTGGCATCCTCCCTCTGAACTCATCTAGACGTACATGTATGCAGTGATAATTGTTTTCTCTGTTAAACTGTCCAGTCCAAACCCTACTTTTTGCCTTATTTAGAATGATTGCAAAGAATTACAATTATGATGTAGCAGAAATATGCATAATCTTCATATTTCTTGTTTTGCTGGAAGAACAATTGGATTAATTTCTTATTGGTTTTGTTATATTGCTGTTATCAAGGTGGAAGTGTATGAGCTCTTGGAGAGTGGAAGTAAGCCACAGAAAAAACATCTAATTGCATCAAGATTATTGTCCCTGTACACAGAAGGCTGGGAAGTCTTCAATGTCACGCAGACAGTAAGCAGAGAAGTCTGACTTCACTTTGTTTCTAAATCTCTTAAGGTGACAGCTCATAACACCAGCATTGCCATTATGCTGAGGTTTGTGGTCAATTCAAACTGAAGAGAGAGAAGTTTTCTCTCTACACTTATAAGTACACTTGGTGCTACCTGAATTAAAGAAGTGTTAATATGCTGCTAGCAGCAGAGGCATGGTGAGAATTGAGTAACCCAAACCTAATCGATGGAGGGATATCAGGCCAAGTATGTTGTTGTGATAAAAACAGTAATGTGTTAGTCCTTAGACTGCCAAAGGATTTGACATTGATTGTGTACCAAACGTAAGTTTTCATTTCTCCTTTTTATCCTGGCAACATTTCTGTAGAGCAGTATGCTTCAACGTTGTGTTTCTGGAATTTATTATACTACTTGGATTGCTTTTCATTTAACTTTCTCTGTACACTTTTTTATTTGTTAGCTTCAAGATTTGTTTTGTAGATATCCATAAACTGTGACGGTAGTAGGTGAACGCCTCTCCATGGCAAAAAAAAGGCACACGTGGTTTAAGACAAACATTTTGAGGGGTTTAAAACTGTACTCTGTGACAGTGGTTTTTGTTGCCTAGCTTTATGATCCGACTGAACAGTGTGCTTGGATGGTTGGTCAAATTGCATCTTAAGTCATGATATTCCTGCTTGAGAATGGCCTGGCCTTATCTATTAGTGTGTAATTATAACAATTAGATAAGAAAATGTGCTTGATTGCAAGTTAATTTCTTCAAATGCCACGTTTGTTAAATTTAAATGAGTCTTAACGATATGGAAAGTCTGGAGGATTCATATTACTCTGTTGAGATTGCTATGAAAAATATGTATCTGGTGAAGGTCAAAGAGTGTTTATTTTAATACTAATACTTACACTCATTTATTCACTGGTAAATTCTGTGACATTAATTATCTTACTGTAAATATACGTTTGGGGTATGCATATTTTGTGTTTTTACATTTTGTTTTTTAAGTGCTGAATTACTGATTTAAATATTAAACTCAATGGACTCTCAGCTATACAGTTATCTCAATTCTGTCATAATATATGTCCTTATACTCTCATAACTTGTTGCCTGTTCCCTTTTCCTAATATAAACATTGCTTAATCATAATGCTGTAATAGGAATATTGAAACAATATTATTTCACTTCCCTGTCACTACCAGGTTTCCGAGTGGGTTGGAAACAGCAGCTCCAACCATGGCTTATTGTTAAAAACGACACACGTATTCAACAACAGAATTGAACACAACCTGATTAAGTTTGCCAAGAGCCAGGACGCTTTGCAGGAGAGTAGAAATGCTCTCCTTGTTCTCTTCACTAACAGTAACAAACAGAGGTCTCCCAGCTTTGTACTGTCCTCCACAAGTAAGTTCACTCGAGTTTTAGAATATGTACTGTCTGTTCAGTTTCTGATACCTCCTGCTACCTCATGTATACCTAACCTCAGTTATTTACTTGCAGTATTGAACATGTTTGAAGTTCAGCTTTGTCACTGATCAGAGTTTAATTTGATAGTTCTTGTTAGTAGATCACCCAGCATCTTAAGTTGCCTCTCCCCTGAGAAAAATTGAGTTTGCAGGAAATATTCATAATGCCTACAGGGAACCTGGTTTATTTTTTGTAAAGGGATGTGCGTTCTATTTTTTAAGTACTATTTATATTATTTTTGTGGTGGTGAAAATTGTATATTAGGTTTAGACTGGAAAAACTTGGAAAATTTCGTGAAAATGCTGGTGAAGTATCTGTAAGTAGAGTTATTAAGTGTAATTTTCAAGAGTGAAAGAGGTTGTTAAATAAGCAATTTGAACCTCTCTGTCCTTGGCTTGCTTTTTAAGCACCTATTTAACTTCAGTGACTAATTAGCATTGTGACAAAAGGCTGCTTTCATCAAAGACGACGCCCTTATGCCTTAAATTACAAAACAGTGTCTTACCTCTCCCACTAGTCTTCCTGTAAAACGAACTCAGGATGGATTTTTAGGGCCTGATAAATGCAAAGAGCAAAAGTTGGGAGTAAGGGCAAAAATAATGCAGTTCTGGCTTTGCAGGCTTTTCTGGTAAACGATCGTGTTTGAATATCAGAAAGAAGCTAGGTAGGACTTGGATCAAAATTAAGAAGTAGATAGTGAAATTGATTAAAAATAAAAATGAGGTTGGCCTGTTTATTTTTGTCTTCCAAAGAAAAATTAATAATGAAATCCTAGATCCCAATTTAATGAGAATCAAGCTCTGCATGGGATACTGTGCCAAGATTGAGAAATTTCTCAATGAAGAAACTCCCTAGACCTGCCTGTTGTTTGTGGTCAGTGACTACACAGATTGTTCTTCTACATATCAGTGAGTTTCAGCCTCTGTAGATGGATCCTGAGGTCTCTGTAGATCTCAAGGCTTCTCAGAAGATACTTCAGAAAGCACCCTATTATCAGTAAGCTTTATTCCTTAGCAGAGTTCCATAAACCTGGTGGTGATTTTTTCAGATCAAAAAATTGAAAAATATATTTTTTAAAATGTTACTTTACACATTACCAGGTTACTGCACACTCTGTTTTGCAGGTGTACGAGTAGAGTTTGTGGGAGAATACCCGAGAGAAAGAGGCTGTGATCTCCACCCTCAGTTAACACTGCTCAGCATAATGTGTGTTGTAGGAGTGGCTGTATGAAGACTGTTAATACCATTCTGACCAGATTCAGCCCTGAAGAGGGACTGTGGAGTTCATGAAATGTATTTTGTAGATAACTGAGTTTTCCCTTTCTTTTTCTGCTGAATTGGGGTGCTTTTTTCACACAAAGTTAAATGCAAGATTTGACAGGTTTGGAAATATGGCTGAAATGGCAATTGAATACACACCCCTTCTGGTACTTTCACAGGTCAACTGCCATTTCAAAATCTACTCTGAAGGCTTTGATGTAGATTTATGGAATGTATTTTCATGCAGAACACTGTACTTAGTAAATGAATTTCATTTGTGAAATATTAACACACAACTTCCTTTCAGAATCAGAAATAAACCCTGACAAAATTGATACTACACATGTGCCTCATGAAACTGATGTCAGCAAAAGCAGCAGTGCAAGCATGGGCAGGAGACCTCGAGCTGCCCCAGTCCCTTCTGCCAAAAGCCAGGTAACAGCATGTCATCGAAGGGAACTCTATGTAGACTTCCATGCTATTGGCTGGTCAGGATGGATTATTCATCCAAGTGGATACAACGCATTTTATTGCACAGGGTCCTGTCTCTTCCCTTTGGGGGAAAGTCTAAATGCAACAAACCATGCTACAGTTCAGTCCATTGTCCATACACTGAAACTATCTCAAGATGTCAGCATGCCTTGCTGTGTGCCAGATCAGTTGAAGTCCCTCAACCTTCTCTACTTTGATGAAAAAGAGAACGTGGTCCTTAAAAATTATAAAGACATGGTGGCAACAAGGTGTGGTTGTCATTAGCAGGACCTCTTTTTGTCTGCATTTGGTGTGCACCTGGATTCGGTTCCCCATTTGTCACTGAAGATACCAGAGGAGATGATATTTCAGTTTACAGGGTAGGAGAGCCAGAAACTTATCTGTACTTTAAATCCTTCTCCTCTCACCATGGCTCTGTGGAAAGGTGGCTGACTTTTGAAGAGTAGTGAACTTCAAGACCTCCATGGAGAGCTCTCTGAGTGCCTGTACACCAGAGGAAACTATTAAAATCAGGACTTCCTATGTGAAGGAGTTGAAACAGATCAGTTGGCTGTTCAAACTAAGGTCTTGTTCTGTATATTAATGCTCGGAATTTTCTGTGATTTAACAGGCGTGGTATCCTGCCTCAATCCAGAATGGGGTGCAGGTGTCTTGGTAACACAGCCTTATTCAGTTTTGGCTGCATGATCAAGTAGGGATGTACACTCCTACACTGAGCTTTCAGGGTATTTGCCCACAGCTCATCTTGGAGGCCTCTACCACCTGCTGATGATGCATTATTGGGAAAAGCATTTCTTCCCTGTGCTTTATGCAGCTTTATCAAATGCAGAAACCTCCTTGTAAGTCCCCATGGTACTTGCTAGCCAGTCCGAGGGAATGCAAAAGTCAGTATTTGTCTGGGAATCAGCACATTTGGCTTCTAACTCAGGGCTGCAACTCTGTATAATGAAGGGTCAACCAATTCCTCTGTGAAATCTTTCTCTTCCACCATGGTCTACTGTGGCTATTCAGCTGTGTGGCACCAGAGATCACCTTTGTGTGTTTGCACAGTGGTTGTACAATGGGATCCTAAGCTTGGGTCAGAATACTCATAGTTTAGCAGGAAGAAAACCATTAAGTTTTGGAGGTCCATGGGAACATGCTGGATGCTGGCCTGGTCCTGTGTCTGAGGCAAGTTTGGTGGAATGTACTCAATGATTCCCTTCCATTCTTCCTTGAAGAATAGGACATAGACTTGTAAGGGGCCCCCTGAGGTCTTTCAGTCTTGCTACAGTTTCATGCAAGTAACTAGCCCAATACAGTTCCTCAGTCAATTCACTGAGTTGTACCTTTATCCAAGTTAGGTTTCTTGTCTCTATTAATCCTTGAAGGAGGCTGATTTCTCACAGAATGTGACATCTCCCATGGGTAGAAACTTCATGGAGAGTTCTTTTACTCCAATGAGACTTAAAAAAAAAATATATATTTATGTGATGTTTTTCTTTCTGTAAATACTAATGTCTATAATAAATTTATTTTATTTAAAACCCAAACACTTTGGGTATATTAATTTAATCTGTAATATAAAATGTTGATTTTTTTTAAATAAATGCAATGTGACATTGGTCTGCTTTGTATGTTGTATTTGAACTTCCTCCCGAGAGGTCTGAATCAAACACTTCTCCAGAAGACAGGATATTCTCAGTGGCTATGGTGAGTACTGTATCTAGTCCTCTGACTCTGTATCAAGAAGTATAATGGATAAGCAGAATAAATGAGTTTCTTTTCAGGAAGGATCCAGTGATTGTTCCTGAAATGAAAGCATCTTGATCTTGGTGTATGGTCACCCTGGTGAAGTGGAATGCAAATCTGGTAGTGGTGTGGTTCTAACTGCTGCATCAGCCACACCCAGCCATGGCTGGGCAATTGGCATTGGCAAAGGGACCTTGGAAAGCTTGAAGGGTCATTAAGGATCACATTTTACTGGTTTATTTCCCAGGCTGCTCTTTTGCACTTTTCCCTTTCCACTGCAGAAGTACCTGTGGTGTTTTAAGTCTGTAGGAACCACACCTTGGGAGTGGGAAAATGTATCTACAGTGAGAGTCCAGACAAGGTCACTTCTGAATGGTGACTTCAGCTGATATCAGCTGTGCTTCTTTTGGTAGAGGCCCTAAGAACTGAAGTCATCAGTTTTCACAGCCAAGTAACACTGGAAGAAGGACAGTATTTGGAGCAGACTGGCAGAGGCAGTTTCTGTGTCCAATATACTCGTCTTCTGTCCATACATGACAAATGTTTCCAGCACCATCAGCTGTGTATCAGCTTCATCCTTCACTACTCAACCTAGAGAATTGTTCGATTTTTTTTTTCTAGGGTATCTTAATGTGTTTCTTCTTGTTTTAGAATCCAGGAAAAAAAAAAAAAAAAAGGAAAATTTTCTATTGAAAAGCAAGTATGATTAATAAATAAATGATGGGCACACTGAATATTAGTTAACATAGTGCTGCCCTACAATAGGTGAAATATGCACAGGCAAGCTAGGAGCACTCAGTAGTTTTGCACTCATTAAATTATTTTTTTTCTGCGCCACTCAACATAGTCTCATTATGCCCCATTAAACCCTGATAATTAAAACAAAATATATTGGAATTGTTTATCCTGGACTTTGTAAGGAAATGAGGTTCATAATAATGCCAAGGGAAAAAATTTACACTACACCACAACTTGTAATTAGAATAACAATTAAGCACAAGTAGGCTCCTTTTTTGTTGCCTTTTTTGTTTTGGTTTTGTTTAGAATAAAGGTGAATTTTCTTCTTATTCATTAACTGAAATATGTAAGAATTCCAAAATAAGAAATTCTACACATTGGAATCTTGGTTAAATCAGAATATGATATGTTAGGTGACACACCAAACAGCAACAGCCAGGGTTTTAGAGGGAATAAGAGTTGTCTTCAGCATGGCCAGTCTGAAAAAGGATTGGTGACTCAAACTGAGCATTGTTATACCATGTTGCACCACCTCAGCAGCAGGAGAAAGCAAGGCTTGTAGCAAACCCTGTTGTGATGCGCTGTACCAAGACCAACAAGGAGACCACTTGGCCCTGAAGAGCTGTCCCTGTAAAGAGCAGAAACAAAAAGGAATGAGTGCAGATTTTATATTCAGGCTGCCACCAAGAACATCACACCCCAGGAACTGAAATTTGGAGATATATAGATGAAGAGCGACATATTAAAGGACCGAGAGCACTGCATCATGTCTGCCCTGCCTCCAGCTCCAAGCCTCAGAGGGCACAGCCACAGCAAGGGCCTGCCTGGGCTGGAAGCAGAGTGCCCTCAGTCATTCCCTGTGGAGCATCTGTACAGTGCTCAGCTCTGCAGCTCCAGGACTGCTGGCTCAGATCTCTGACAGCTCAAGGATCTCTGCATCCTCTCCATAGCATGGCATCAGTGTGATGCTCCTCTAGCAATGCAGTTCATGTTTTATACCCATAGGCATATGGAAAGCAGTATTTCAAAGGGAGAATGTCTCAGACAACCTTAGAAGAGAATCCAACCCCATGGTGAAGCTGTAGGGTTGTGCTCAGCCCCACGACAAAGCATTTGGTCCAGTTTTGGAACTAAAGTGGTCCATGTATGTGAGGTATGTGCAGTCACACTGTACTGCTTAAGGTGAGAAGACCACTAAGCCTGACCCTGACAATACCGCAGTGAGATGGCAGTGGAGTGTCAGTATATTGTGGGAGAGAACCAACAGCAGGGAGTACGAATTCAGGAGAGTGATCTCCTGTTTGTAGAAATGTTTGTTTTAAGGGATTTGTGTGGCACACCTTTCACAAGGTACAGATGACAGAAAGTACTTGTTGGTACTGAAGCAGGAGGAGGGATACACTGTGGATGTCTTGGGATGGGCAGAAGGGATGGGCTTGGGGAAATTGGTCTGGGACAGTTTCCTTTGGTGGGACAAGATAAATGTGCCTGCCCTGAGGAAACTGGAGCACAGCAGTGTTGCAAGCAACTGAAAAGCCTCTGCTCTACTCTATCCTCTCTGCAGGCTTGAAAATGCTGTTCGATGTGAGGCATTCTGTTTGAAACGCTCGATGTTGTTTCCAGACTGCCTGGGGTAGTTACTATAGTTTCTTGTCCTCGGTGTAGGAAATGCGGGAATTTCTTGAAAGACCCGTGAAGGGTAGTATTTATTCATAGTCCTGGACTTTGTCTCCTGGAAAGAGAGGAGTGGCTGGGTGCCTATGATAAGTTCCAGGGCTTTCCCACAGATACCGAACCCTGTGGACTATCACCGGCCCCTTTCAGATCACATATGCAAATACAAACATGTATACATGAGCGTTCTTTCTTATGTATGCACCCATGTGCACATGTGTTCATGTTCAGAGGTAGCCTCACTCCTGGTTTCTCTAAATGATGGTGCAACTTTTCCATAACCAAGGTGGAGTGCTCGGGCTAATTTGAGAACGTTGCCACATCCAGAAGATGCATTTCAATGGCTTTGTGCAAAAGTATGTCACACCTAAGCCACTTCTCCCCTTCTGGCCTGAAGTGCAGCTCACCGCTAAGGAGAGCAGTTAACAGGTGTGAATTTGCCTTACCTTCGGTGAATGAGACAATTGTGCGCTAAAGCAGCTAATAAAATGTTTTCTTCCCACTAGGTTTATTGCTAGAAGCCATTCACAGAAGAAGGGGAACTGCTAACTTTCTGTTGTCACAGGATGTGTGCAGCTTTAGACTCATGCAGATGCTAACTGCCCTAATTCAGGCTGAGATCACAGCCTGTCTTGTTCTGGAAAACCAAACCTGCAGGTTTTGCCTGGGAAAATGACCTCATATTGAGAGGTGACTGACCTTTAACTAAAACCACGATTTGGTGATGTATAAATCTAGACCTTGTGACACAAAGCAACATTAAACCCCAGCACGCTGGTTCAGATCTGCTCACAGAAATCTTACTTGGTTAAATATCAGGTTAAATTGAATTGTCAGACAGCACAAAACCTGTGATAAAAATCAGTATAGACTCTGCAGTGTGATCCACATCGTAAGCAACTGTTTGTCTATGTCAAATTTTCTGCGGAATGTGCTGAGCCAGTGTTGATGGCCAAGCAACTGTGTCTTCAAAACTCCCAGACTATAAGGAAAAAAAGGTATAATTTCCCCAAAACACTTGTAAAATTCCCCGGGGTTAAATCAGGCATTGGGCCAGCTTTCCTGACAATAAAAACCCTAGGGCTGAAGTGCTGCTGTGAATAACTTACCACAATTTTCAGAATAAGCTGTAAATTCTGAGTCTCCACTGCTGGTCCTGGGATTCCCATTTTACTGTTGCAGTCCTGGCTGTAAGTGGAAGGTGTCAAGGTTTTAGTGGCTCAAAATCAGTTTTAGAACAGATGGTGATGCAAGAAAGAGAAATGAGAGATAGAAATTGAAACTCTGATTTCTTGACAGGAGACATACATTTGCTCTTGGAGTTAAGGCACCATCTCTGTTTAGAAAAAATAAGCAAATGTAAACATGTTAGTTAACCCACTCAATATCTAACTTAACTAGATCAACCAATACCTTCTGAGAATTGTTTAAGTTTATTT